TGTCACACCCCTCTGGCTCTTGGACTTTTTCTTCCCTTCCATTCCCTCCCCCCAACCCTAAGTTCCAAAGTTATTAGAGAATCTAGATTATAGAATCAGACTATATTATGCAAAACATGTAAGTCTAAAAACTTCCTATGACTTCTTGTGATCAGTATTTGAAACACTTTGATGTAAAATGCACATGTACTTGGGATATGTTAAATCAAGCCTCTCAGTACAGATGCCTCCAGCGCAGGGAACTTATTTGCCATCACTAGCCAATGGCCCCTCTGGAACAATGACATCGGCCAAAGGACTCCATTTCATTTTTAATTGTGCATTATTAAGAAACTGTATGCCTTGGATAGAGCACTGAGTCACAAGAAACAGTAGTTGTTACAGTCATTTGCCGCAGCCCACTTTGAAACTTACCTCTGCAACCGTGAGAATCAGCAGGTTACTTCCTCTGCTTTAAAGGAAGCTGATATTGTCAGGAACTGTGTATGGATTTATGAATCCCCTCAGCTTGTCTCAAACAGAAGGAAAGCAAGTGGGCCATATGTCTCCTCCCTGTATGCTTAGGTTTCTACGAGGCTTACCAGTTAATCAGAAAATTGCCTGACCTACAGTCAATCTTGTGCCTTTAACAACAGTTTGATCTGCAAAAATCAAAGGTTACCCTTCTTGTTATGTGGAGATTAAGATTATCACCTGCTAATTCCCCATAGTAACCTACTGTTAAAGCCACAGCCACAAAAGCCACTTGGAAAACTGGACACCCTGCCCTAATCACCTATATCAGGGCTAGAGCCAGCCAGCTACTATCTCTACCACTCTCTGTTCCATCGCCTCCAGCTACTACAGCGCACTTCAGTCTACTATTTACCCAGAAACTGCATTGTATTTTAGGCTGGGCTGAAATTGTCCAGAGAGGACAGGCAGTGAAAACAAGAAGGTGTTGCATGTCAGCTGTAGTAGGCTCAGTGTTCCCCCAGTACTGCAGTCCTAAACTTACTTAGAAGGTAAATCCTATTCAGCTCCTGATAAATGCTGTTTAAGACTGAGGCATTGACTTCTCATATATGTGCCACAACGTGCCAGTTGCTACGTTGGGAGGTGATTCATCCCACTGTGTGACTCTGTTTTTGAAGGGACCCCAGGCTTCAGTGAAGAGATAATATCACCGGAGTGTGTGTGGCTTGTGGAAGTTTGCTAACCTGAAATCAAGACTCCTCTTTTACTCTCTGTGACATTAACTATGAAGTATTGATATAAAGTCGCTGTTTGGCTGCCTCTTACAGCTATTCACGTGGAAAGTTAGGGTAGAAGCGCATTATGTGCCTGCATACAAATTCCAGTTCAGTATTAGGACAAATCTTTCATCTGCTCTGTCTGTTTCCACTTTATAGTAATAAACTCAGTACAGATTTAGCTTGATGTTCACGGGAAATAACAAAGTGTAAAGCAAGAATGCAGTACATACTACTAGCGTTTTAGGCCTCTAAGCCTGTTCATTTTATGGTGGATGTCTGAGGAGGAAGTAAAGAGCTAGTGTCCCTATCTCCTTTCCCTGCGTGCTCACCTATCTGTTGGTTAGTAAACAATGGAAATCATCAGCTTTTCTTACCATCATATAGTTTTATTGACTTAAGGCTATACTTCTTTGCACACTTATCTGGAATTAAACTTCACTGAACACAGTGGAACTTCCAAGTAAATATGTATAGGGTGAACCTGTAAAAAAACCCCACTACAATAGTCACTGGCAGACTCAGACAGTGACTGACACTGAGTGATAACTTCCAAACTGAAAACAACTTTCAACTATCAAACAATAAAGACAGGGCTAGCAGCAGCCATGCAACTTTGGCTCAAAACAGACGCAAACCTGTAAGATCCGTGATCTTACAGGGCCCTGATTTGGATTGGGTCCATGCATGAAGGGGAGAGAGGGTTTAACCCTTTCACCCAAGCAGTTCCACATGTCAAACTGTGGCTCCTATATAGGAGTAGCCCTTTAAAGAAAAAAACGACAAGTACCCATTTTTCCCCTTTAAAACTGTAATGACAGGTGCAAGCTTAGTGAACCCATGAGGAGATGCAAGGGTTATAGCCCTTCTCCCCTCCCTGTACAGACCCAATTCAAATCAGGGTCACCTGTGACTGTAAGTATACCTTTATAGACTGATAGCCTATGATGTCATTTGTGTCACTGTAAGTATACCTTTATAGACTGATAGCAGCCTATGATGTCATTTGTGTTTAGTTTGACCCATTCCCATGGAGGTTTCACACAGCAAGTGAAAGGTATCTCAAAGAAGGACAGAGTTTCTATTCCTTGTGTTGTTACGTAGAAAAAGGAATTTTGGCAGTTGCACGTTTTTCACACAGGGTGGAGAAATGTGGTGAAATTCCCCTTTCTATATAACTGTTAAAGGTACAGAAACCTCATCCTCCTCTGCTTCTGGTCACATTCTACATGCATAAGTTAAATCAGCCCCAGGCAGACATATTTCAAGCCTCAAGTATCAACCACATTCAACAGCAGAGAGATGACATCTTTGATCATTCAACATTTTGTGACAATAGACTTTCCTTGTAAATAGCACATTGCTTGATTTCAATCCCTTTCCCCATCACTTAGGCTGCCCCTTCTTATCTGTAGCTACAGAGGCCCTACCTTCAAAGCCTTAACAGCGGTTCGGTTTATTCATAGATTGGTTTATTCCTAGCCTTGATTATACTGATTAACAATCCCCTGTGTGTGTCCCCATTCCTCCCCTCTGGGTGATCCAGCATGCGGCCTACAGGTTTCACCCTTAGTGCTTGGGTGGGAGGATGGCCGCCTTTGCCCGGTGGGGATGGGCTCCCTCAGCCAACACCTACCTCATGAAACAACATCTGCCTCATAACACAACACCTACCTCATGATCACTTTAAATGGAAAATATCTGTCTGCCTTTCTGTCATGGCTGGCATCACTAATACCTTTAAATGAAAAATTCTGATTTCCACTAGTCTGGTGGGGCTGGGGTGCCCACTAAGCTATCATGGGGTGACTTTGGGGAGCCTCTGTCAGATGTCTGCCTTCCTGTCATGACATCACTAATCACTCTAAATGGAAAACTCTGATTTCCACTGATCTGAAACTCTGGGAATGTTTACCTTTCTGTCCTTCAGAATCTGCTTTTGGAGACTTGGGAGATCTGTGAGAGTAGGGGGGATACTTGCTTTGCTTCCAGTGTTTGGCTGGGGGGGGGCTGCCCAGGTAGAGTTTCCCTGTGAGTTTGGTGTCACTGGCTTGTTCCTGAGCTGTTCCATAGACCTCTGTATCTGCAGCTGTCATTTTCAGCAAGAGCACTGGGGAGAACTTGGGGGGGGCGTAACTGGGACCCCAGAAATGTAATCCACCCCCAAGATGGAGAGATTGTAGAGGAATGGGTGGCAAGGTGAGGTTTGGTATGTGTAGCTCTCAGGGGATCCATTCTATACATTTGTGAACATTTTCCCCAAATGCACTTTCCTGGCTTGATTTTAGTCTTGTTGGGTTTGCAGTGCCATAGTGGCACTGGTTCTGCTGGGCACATTGCACTGGTTCTGCTGGGCTTGCAACAATGCCCTCCACCTTCAGTTTCTACAGCAGAGATTATCTGGGACTTTGATTCTGTTCTGCTGGGCTTCTATTGTCCTTGCTTTTTTTGCTGTTTTCCCCTCCATTGGAAACAATGGAAGATGGGGCACTTTCTTTGGGAGGGGGTGTAACTCAGACCCCATAAATTGAGTCCTCCCCAAACTTGGTAGGCAGCTAGAGGAGAGTCAGCCAGAGGTCCAGTGCAAGTTTTGCATCTCTAGCTTGCACAGGATCCATTCTATACACCCCTGAACTTGTGCTTGTCATTTCACCAGAAACCACTTTCCTGCGGTCACTTTCTTAGGGGGCTGTAACTCGGACCCCATAAAGCCAATCCTCACTAAACTTGGAGGGCAGGTCAAGGAGAGTCAGCCAGAGTACACCAGGGGGCATTCTATAACATCATGAACCTCAGGAACCAAACCAGTTCATCTGGTGTCATAAAGTTTATGACAGTCCATAGTCCATGAACCACAAACCCCACAAATCATGAACCAATACAAACCACATTTTCCTGGTTCATGCCCATCCCTAATCACTACACCACACCAATGTTCCCTCTAAGCTATGGAGTCTTGTGAGCAAAAATTCTACTTTGTGAGCTACTGGCATTAAAGTTGTGAGCAGGTGATTTGGCTACTGCATAAATTAGCTTGCTCTGGAGCCATCCTTCCTGAGCTAAGACAAAAATGGGTGAGCCAGAGGCTCAAAAACCGTGAGCTAGCTCACACTAACTCAGCTTAGAGAGAACATTGCACCACACTGGATCTCATTTATAGTCAAAAACTAAACAGGATATCTTTAAATGTTAGCGTCTTCCTATACAAACGCTGAAGTTCACACTCAGCAATGACGTCCATTATATTATTTTGAACTGGTCACCCTGTCTATGTCACAGAGTTATTGTCAGGATAAATGAAAGAGAGAAGAACCCTGGGATCCTTAGAAGAAGAATGAGCTAAATCCATCTACAGTTGCATTGGAGTAGTTTCTGGGTGACTGTCAGTGCCATCTTAAGAAAAGTTCCATAGACTTAGAAGGGTGTAACATTGCTTGGAGTGCAATTGCAAGTGTAGGACGACAACCATTATAGTTGTATTGCAAGGATTGCATATTTGATATGAACTTGTTTGACCTTTATGTCTTGTGAGGTGGCCTTTAAGTATTCGTGTGAAAGCAAGAACAGATAACAAGACAGTGCGCGCAAGGACATGAATGCACATAGTTTGGTATTGTATTAAAGATTAGATAAATTCTTGTTTTATTTAATTCCTTAATGGTAAACAATGGTTGAGAGTGCTCTGCAGCAGATAGTACAGTGTTCTGAACTACTGCTGTTTCACTAGTTTCTACTACTGTTTCACTCGTTTCTCATTTTCTGAACTAGGTGCGAACAATGCAGCGTCCTCCACTAGGAGTGAAACTGGTGATTGAAGCTGTCTGCATTATGAAGGGAGTCAAGCCCAAGAAAGTGGCAGGAGAGAAGCCAGGCTCTAAGATAGATGACTACTGGGAGCCTGGCAAAGGTCTCCTTCAGGAACCAGGGAAATTTCTTGAAAGCTTGTTTAAATACGATAAAGTAAGTAATCATGATGGTTGTGCTCATGCATACCCTGTCTCTCACATACACACAAATGTTTTAAAGACTAAAAGTAGTACCAGTAGGGTTGCCATCTGACCAGAAAAACCTCTCCTCACTTGCTCCTGTGCTTATCTTCATGTAATTAAAAGTTTTCCCTCTGAGTTCTGCCGATCCATCTTCTGATAAGCATTGCCTTCTGCTAATATCTGCAGACCAAACTGCGGTTAAAGGTACAATGGCAGGAGCTGGGGAAACAGTTGGCAGTCTTATGCACAAGGTTAATGGGTATAAACAGACAGATGGCAATCGCTAAGTCCTATAATTAAATGGTTTCATTCTGTGTTTAATAATGTATGTGTATTTCAGAGAAATGTTTTGTTGTTCAGTCGCACAGTGGAGTCCGACTCTTTGCGACCCCATGGACCAGATCACGCCAGGCCTTCCTGTCTTCCGCCGTCCTCTGAAGTTTGCTCAGCTTCATGTTCGTTGCATCTATGACACTGTCTAACCATCTCATCCTTTGCCGTCCCCGTCTTCTTTGACCTTCAATCTTTCCCAGCATCAGGGTCTTCTCTTTCTTTCAGAGAAATAGTACACCCAATATGCTGTACCTTTGGCCAGGGTTCTCTAGGGAGTAAAAAGCAAGGCGGTGTATTGGAAAAGTGAAACAAGAATATTCAAAAATGTGTGGGAATCCAGTTTACTATAGACATTCACTGAAGGCATTTTGAGGCACTGCTCCTTCTCAAGGATATTAAAACACTTAAGGTGGAGTACTTTCTCCCATTAGGGCACATCAGTCTCCAGTTCTAACATATTTATTACCTATGTTGTCCCCCCCCCCAGTTGAACTGAAACAGAACTAAGCTTGTCATTCTTTTGATCTGTTAAAAACAAGTGCCCTCACTATTTTGCGTGCTAATTTAACAAACCACTCCTATATATACAACTATGGTATGTAATTCCATTTCATCATCTGCCGAAGTGTGCAAAGCTCACACCTTGAATAAAACTTTGTTGGTCTTAAAGGTGCCACTGGACTCTAACCTTGTTCTATTGTTTTATGACTGATATGACAAGATAAGGAACACCACAACCAATTTAGTCTGCTTTGCCTTTCTCACCAAGCTTTTATTGCTTTGTGGCCACAAAGCGTCCTCTTCAAGGAATTAACAGTGTTTGCACTGAAGAGGTCCACTTCCAGCATACTTTTGTCCATGGGCCTTTGCTGCCTCAGGGCTGAATCCCCTGAACTTTCAACCAGTCAGGCTCACAGCAGTTCATTGTCTTTTATTCTTTTCAGGATAACATTGCAGATACAGTAATCAAATCAATCCAGCCTTATATCGACAGTGAAGAATTTCTGCCAGCAGCCATAGCCAAAGTGTCCAAAGCCTGCACATCTATCTGCCAGTGGGTTCGAGCCATGCATAAGTACCACTTTGTGGCCAAAGCTGTGGAGCCAAAGCGAGTAAGGACTGCAGCTGAGCTTTTAAAAAGTTATTCAGTGTATTCCTAGTAATAAAAGGAGCCTCCTCTCAACTCTGTAGGAGTTTTCTGAGGAAAAGAAGCGGTCATTGAAAGCTGTTTCCCTAGCAGCATGCACCATTTGGGGCTCACAAATATTGCTTTTTCCATAGCAAGCCCTTCGGGAGGCAGAAGAAGATCTGCAGGCTACACAGAAGGTCCTGGATGAGGCCAAGGAACGTTTAAGAGAAGTGGAGGAGGGTATTTCCCATCTGCAGGCCAAATACAAAGGCACCTTAGCTACAAAGGAGGAGCTAGAGATGAAGTGTGAACAGTGTGAGCAGAGACTGGGCCGGGCTGACAAGGTAAGGGAGATAGCCAGGCCGATTCCGCACTAATGCTTTGCTCTCCGTTCTCCTCGGGTCTAATTGGCCCGATTCTGTTGGGGGAGTTCCGCATTAAGGAACTCTGACCCATGTTTGTCGCCTTGCCCCAAATCTAGCACCCCCTCCCCTCTCTTCCCCCTCCTTTTTTATGATCAGGGGCATGGTTGGGTTGTAACGCACCCACCCACTGGAAAACAGGCATGCTTTACACATGCGTAGTTGCATTGTGCCACGTCGAAAAAGGGAGGGGAAAGGGAGAGAGGAGGTGGGAAAGGAGGGGGAGAGGGAGAGGGAGGGAGAAAAGCAGACATGCAAGGCAACACGTCATCTCCGCGAAAATTGTATCCACACCACCATGCCACCCTCAATGCATCTTTTTAACAGTTGCACTACAGCCCGTAGGTTAGCCCCACGAAAATTTTTGTCCACGTCTCAATGTCACCCTTAATGCGTTTTTTTAACAATGGCACTACTTTTGTACAAATAGCGAATTGCAACACAGAAATGGGGAAACAGCAGAGGTACATTTAAAAGGACATTTAAATGCCAGCCAACAATGGATCAGTATTGTGTTGCAATGCAACATGGGAGGGGGGACAAAAAAACCCTCATGCCAGGGTGGGAAAGGGAGGGGTGGCTAGGGAGGGGGAAAGAAGCAGAGAAGCAGAGGGGCGTTGAAGGGGTGGAGAGAGGCAGGAAGGGGAGGGGAGGGAAAGAAGCAGAGGGGCATTAAAGGGGTGGAGAGAGGACAGCCACGATTCGCGAGTTCCCTTCTACAATGCTCCGATTTCAACCCCGTAGTAAAAAAAAGATCCTGAAAATAGCGGAGACAGAAAATCCGGGGAGAGTCAATTGCCGATCCAGACCAACATGTGGGGAACTGATCAATTTCCGCAGATATTATCGGGGGGTGAAACTGGGGCAAGTGATTGTGCAGAATCGGCCCCAGATTGCCTCCATTCCAGTCAGCGTGTCTGGGCCTTACAAAAACGGAGGCATCTTGGCTTCTGTACTCATGCAGGGCTGTATTACCCATAAGGCTGACTAGACTGAAGCCTAGGGGCCCTGCAGGAATTAGGGGCCCATCAATTTTTTTTTTGCTGAAGCACTGTTATTTTCTCTTCGTAGGCAGCCTGTAAAGTCGCCGGAGGGGCCCCAAAATACCTGAAAGCCTAGGGGCCCGGCCGTGGGTTAATATGGCTCTGGACTTATGACAGACATGGCTTCTCCTGCCCTTCTCCTTCTCCAGTCCCTTTAGTCGCTTTCTCCTTTTACATGCTCAGGAGGTAGGAGCAGAGGGTGGAGTAGGCTACATAGGAAAAGCCATGGCTACATGCTGTGTTCCATCTGCAAAGCTATAAAGGGAACTTGTGCAATCTCCAGGGTGACAGCCCTTTCTGAAAAAATGCTGAGCATCATGCAAATGTATCTTTCAGGAAGTATTTGCCTTGTCCTACCTTAGAGCAGGGCTGTGATGTTAAACTCAGCTGGAAAGGGGACCTGCTGCTGCATTTTCCATCTCTCTGCTGTTGTTTTCAGAACTGAGGTCCCTGTCGCTGTTGTTTTGTGACATTTTTGTGTAGATGTTTCATGGATAGGAGTGAGGCTGCCTGAGGAAAAAACGAAATGGCAATTTATGTGTGTCTTTTCTCCAGCTGATTAATGGCCTGTCTGACGAAAGGGTACGCTGGCAAGAAACAGTCCAGAATCTGGATTATATGATCAACAACATTTCAGGAGATGTTCTGGTTTCAGCTGGCTTTATAGCATACCTGGGACCTTTCACAGTGAGCAAAAGGAATGCTTTCTTTTCTTGCAATATCTGAAGTTTTCTCTTGACTTAAGTCTGTTCCAGAATCACTTTGTCAGTTCGGGGGGCGGGGGGCATAACTGAATCCAATACTTCCTTCATCCCAATTGTGGATCTTTCATATAACATACAGTGTGACCTTGAGAGAGCCTGCTCAATGTCCTTTTCTTAACAAATAAGCATGAGTTAGAGCTGCAGAAATGCCACTGGTAGTCCCTTGCTGGTCCAGGAATTCTCTCCTTCTTAAGGTTCATTGAACCTTAAGCATCTTCTAAAGACACAGATAAAGACTCTACTTAGGATGGCATTGCTACTTTCAGAGTTTAATGTTTTGTAAGAATTTTCTGCTGCAAATCAGTTTTTAGGTGGTGGCTATTTTATCCTGAGCCTTTTTGAACTGAGTAGGCGTTATACGGAATAAATAAGAATTGGCCCAAGCACAGTGCAATTCTATGCAGGTGTACTTAGAAGCCCCATTGAATTCAGTGGGTCTAACTGCCTAGTAAGTGTGTTTAGGATTGCAGCTGTAGTGTAGTTATTTATCTGTTAGTAATAGAATGGAAACCACCACCCCCCGGAGATAATTACCACCGGTTCATGTGTTCACTCCACCTCTTTTGCATGTGGATCCCTCCCATCACCAGTGGTTCTCTGTTATGTTGGACTGGAACTAAATATGATGAGCACTTGTCAGGACTGTATCAAACTGTGGATGGCAAATCTACTTCAAATCATGGTTTTAAATTACAGTTTGAAGACCTCTTAAGGCATGGTGGTGGGTGATGAGGTTTTAATTGAACTAAAATTTTAGAAATACAGATTTCATATTAATGATGCATGGTTTTCCTTGGTAGGGTCAATACCGCATATCACTTTGTGAGGAATGGATAAGCACGTTAAAGTTGTATCATGTTCCGCACACCAAAGAACCAAACCTGATAGCCACACTTGGAGACCCAGTAAAAATCCGATCATGGCAGGTACAGTGAGTAGAGGGGGTGTGAATGGAGTTTAGAGAATTATTTTATGTTGCTTCTATATATTCTGAAAAGCTGTTGTTAAAAAAAAAAGACCCCAGTGTATCTCAGGGGGAGGGGGGTTCCAGTAGTTCCAGGGTTATGAAACTTTGGGAATTCCCCAATTTTGTTTCAGTGGAAATAGTTAAAATAAATTTATGTTGTAGAGAATAATTAATATATCTTTTTTTTAACTTTGCATAGCTCCTTGTCCTCAGCATGTTTATCTGAAGCCATATAAATTATTCAAAATAAGAAAATAGATGCATATTTGCTTGAATTTCATAATGTATATGGGTACAGAAATTTGCTTTTCTTGATATAAGAATATGGGTTATCTTGGTTCACTTTTGTTTAAGACAGAGTACAGAGAGCCTTGCATTTATTGTTAAACCTTCCCCCCCCCATTCTGCAGATTGCTGGTCTACCCAATGATACCTTGTCTGTAGAGAATGGAATGATAACACAGTTCTCTCAGCGCTGGACTCTGTTCATAGACCCCCAGGGACAAGCCAACAAGTGGATAAAAAACTTAGTAAGGATTTCTGCTTTTGACAGATCATTAACCAAATTCACCAGTACCCAGGGAATGTGTCTTTCAGTTTCCTTTACTCACATGACTAGTAGCCGTTGATGAACCTGACCTCCATGAAACTGTCTAACCCCTTTTAAAGCCTTCTATGCTTGTGGCAATCACTATGTCCACTGGCAGTGAATTCTACAGTGTGGTTACTCATTAAGTAAAGAAGTATTTCCTTTTGTCTGTTCTGAATCTATTGTGCATCAACTTCATTGAGTGCGCCTGAACCCTAGAAGAAGCTCCCGCTGTTCACACTCTCTACCCCATGCATAATTTCAGAAGCCTCTATCATGTCCCGTTTTAGCTGTCTTTTCCGCAAAATGGAAAGTCTCTTCAGCCTTTGCCTTCAGCAGTTTGCCTTTGTCACCCCTGCTGCCCACTGAGTTGACATTTTTATCAAGCTGTAGCCCCAAATCTCTTGCAGGTGGTCTCAGCCAATTCAGATCAGCATATATTTATGGTTAGGATTTTTTATTCCACCGTGCATCATCTTTCACTGAACCAACACTGAGCTTCATTTGCCATGTTATTGCCACTCACCCAATTTAGAGAGATCCTCTTGTAGAGCTTCATAGTCCACTTTGGCTTTCATAAGCCGCCCTGTAAGCCGCCCTGAGCCCGCTTGCGGGGAGGGCGGGGTAAAAATACCTAAATAAATAAATAAATAATCCTTGATATAATTTGCAAACTTTATCACTGCACTGCTCACCCCCAATTCCAAATAATTCATGAACAAATTATATAATGCTGGTCCTAGTGCTGGTCCTTGTGAAAACCTGCTGCTCCTTGTGAAAAACTCCACTGAGAGAAATGTCCATATATTCTTACTCTCAAAAGTATTGATTTTGTGATGTGAAAACCAGTAAATACAGGGGTCATTTCGTAGAAAAAGAGGTGCAGGAGCTCATTAGCATAACTCATTAGCATAACTTATTTGCATATGTCACACCCCCTGACATCACCGGAAGTGTGTCAGAAGGCAACACCCACCGCTCAGTGTCTACTGGACTGTTCTGGATTGCTAGCTTTGGGGGGGGGATGACGTGCAGATCTGTCCTCACAGAGGAGGAAGAGCTTGTACCTGAATAAAACTTGGTTTTAAAGGTGCCACTGGACTGTTTTGGACTGGGGGGGGCGGGAGGGCTCTGCAACTTACCTGGCTGCTTCTTGCTGTGACTGAAGGCTGCTGGGAGTAGGGGGTGGGGCTTGTTGCATGTGCCCACCCCCTGGGCTCTTTATTGCCGGAGCTCCGCTCCTATGCGTTCCTGCAGGAAATGACCCTTGAGTAAATATATGGGGGAGGAGCATAACTGAGTGTTACTAATCACTCTAGTAACCACTTCGCTTGCTATCAAAGAGTCTCATAGTTGTCTTTGTTGCTTTACTGAATTGGCTCCTCAAAAGTTCATGCTGGGCAACGTTTGGGTGAACACCATATGGTATATGCTCTGTTCAGTTTACTAGCAATGTATACATTTAAAAATAATTATTTTTTTCTTTCCACATACATGTAAATCTGCTTTCTGTCTCTGCTTCCTTTCCACATTCACTCAAAGCTGTTGTCGCCAGGACTGAGTTTCTTCCTACCCTGTTGTTTTTCAGGAGAAAGATAGTGGACTAGACACATCCAAGCTCAGTGAACGGGATTTTCTGCGCAGCTTGGAGAATGCTATTCGCTTTGGAAAGCCCTTTCTCCTGGAGAATGTAGGGGAAGAACTAGATCCAGCTCTTGAGCCAGTCTTGTTGAAACAGGTGGATTCTTGTGTCTATATGTGTGTGTGTGCACGCGCACATGTGTGCACACGCGTGTGTGTAAAGATTTTAACAAGCAATGGAATGCAAAGGGTGGAAACTGTACATTAAATTAGGGTGGAACTGTACATTTTCTCAGGTGGGACTGGGAGTTAGGAGTGATGCTGAGGCATACAAGTCAAGTCATCCAGTTAGGGCTAGCCTCAGCCAAGGGGACCAGAAGTTCTGTGGAAATCTGACTATGGAACTACTTGCCACCGATCTCATCACCCATGTACTCCATTCAAAATGGCTCACCAGATTTGCTATCTTCATCTTGCCAGGAAACCAGCACAGGATTGCTGAAGTAGATTCAGAGGTGCGTTGTGGTGGGGGCATGCATCAGCAAGTGAAGCGAAGTCATTTAAAGCCTTCCCTTCCATCACTGATGCATGCTGCCACCATGGCACAACTTGGGGAGGGAAGGTATTTAAAGAGTCTCTTTAAAGAGCCACTGCCGTGGCGCAACTCAGGGAAGGAAGGGAAGGTATTTAAAGAGACATACCTTCCCTTGCTGAGGTGAGCTGCCACTGCACCGCAACTCAGCAAGGGAAGGGAAGGTATTTAAAGTTTAAATACCTACCCTTCCCTCCCTCCCTAAGTCATGCCGCAGTAGCAGCTCACCTCAGCAAGAGAAGGGAAGGTTTTTAATGCATGCTGTGGCGTGACCTTAGGGAGGGAAGGAAAGTTGAGGAGCTGAATAAATTTGGAAATACCTATTATTTCCTGAATCCCAATATCATACTGATATTGGAATTTGTGAATATCAGTATATACCAATATTTTTCGGGTTTGGTATACCCGAACCTGAAAAATACCAATTTTTTTGTCTATGTGCACACCCCTAGTGAGAACTAAAAGGATATCTTACCCTATGGCTCACATCTCATGGTCCTTGAATGAACCAGCCCACTGGACTAGAACCTGCCTGTGATGTGGTTTTGTGCATTTTTATTTTTTGTTTACCTGAACTATATTTTATTTGTTTAAATTGTTTATTTTAATTATACTCTGGTATATTTGTAAGCTGCTTTAATTCCTCACTGTGGTGAAAAGTGGGTTGATAAATTGCCTTAAAATAATAAAATAATTTCTTGGGCAGAGTTAGCTTTGAAAATCATAGCCTAAATATCTCTACCAGTCAATGGTGATAGATTACCCATGTCCAATATAGATTTTTTATCTTTTATTGTTACAAAGGACTTTAAAACTTTTTATTTACTTGTTTTCTTGATATAAAGACTTACAAACAACAAGGCAGCACGGTACTGAAATTGGGAGACACATTGATTCCATATCATGAAGACTTCAAGATGTACATCACCACCAACCTACCCAATCCCCACTACACACCAGAGCTATCCACCAAGCTGACACTAATTAACTTCACCCTGTCACCCAGGTAACCAGTCATCTTTTTATATCTTTTACCGCTATCCCATTGTATACATTGATCTTGTGGAATTGTCCTAAATAATAACAATAGTGATTCAAAAACATTGACCAGTAACTAATTAATGCTTTTATTCTTGATTTTCTGTCTTTGCCAGTTAGTGTTCTGATACTATCTGAGGGCTTAAAGTAGATTAAAAACATAAGAGAAGCCAATGTTGTATCAGGCCAGTGGCCCATCCAATCCAACACTCTGAGTCACACAGTGGCCAAAACCCAGGTGCCATCAGAAGGCCAGAACTCCAGGATCCCTCCCACTGTTGCCGCCCAAGCACCAAGAATACAGAGCATCACTGCCCCAAACATAGTGTTCCATCTAGACCTCATGGCTAATGTCTGCTAGTGGACCTCTGCTCCACATGTTTATCCAATCCCCCCTTGAAGCTTTCTCTGCTTGTAGCCACCATGACTTCCTGCAGCAGTGAACTTTACATGTTAATTACTCTTTGCGTGAAGAAGTGCTTCCTTTTATCTGTTCTAAGCCTGCTCATAAATTTCACTGAGTGTCCACAAGTTCTTGTATTGTGAGAAAGGGAGAAAAGTACTCCTTTCTCTACCTTCTCTATTCCATGCATAATTTGTTAACCTCTGTCATTATCACCTTTCCATTGTTGTTTCTCCAAGCTAAAAAGTCCTAACCTGTTTAACATTTCTTCATAGGGAAGATGTTCCATCCCCTTAATCATTTTAGTTCTCCTTTTTTGCACCTTTTCCAATGTTATACCTTTTTTGAGGTGTAGTGACCAGAACTGTACACAGTATTTCAAATGACGGCTGCACCATTGGTTTATACAGGGTCACTATGATACTGGCTGATTTGTTTTCAGTGCCCTTCCTGGTAATCCCCAGCATAGCATTTACTTTTTTTTATTCTCCTCCTTTTCTCTTATGTGTTATCCATTGTCTGTCATTCCAAGTGGGCACTGTGGTTGCATTTAGGTTGGACTATAACTTTGCCTGAGCTTGCGGTCTGTAAATGGGAAAAATCTGACGCCTGAATGGGATCTCTGGGTTTTTTTTCTGTTTGTTTAATAGTGGCTTGGAGGACCAGTTACTGGGCCAAGTGGTGGCAGAAGAGCGCCCTGACTTAGAAGAGGCAAAGAACCAGCTGATTGTCAGTAATGCCAAAATGCGGCAGGAGCTAAAAGAGATAGAGGATCAGATCCTGTACCGTCTAAGCTCCTCTGAAGGAAATCCTGTTGATGATTTAGAGCTCATCAAAGTGTTGGAAGCATCTAAGCTAAAAGCTGGGGAAATTCAGGTTGGTGAATGCTCTGTACTCCAGTTGAGGATTAGACCAGACAAGAGTTTGGAACATCCATGAGTGGGTCTCTAGCATGTACTTGTAAAATAACAGCTGTGGGAGTCACTGATTTGGACAAATCCCCTGATGAAGCAGTGTGTGAAACATGTAGGGATCCTTGAGTGGAATACAATAAAAATCTTTTTCCCCAAGGCACCATCATTTTTTTCTTTTCTGTTTTAGCTGCATTGGTACGGCTCCCACTCTTATTTTCACTTGAAACCAACAGGTTGTCTGCATGTTTTTTCCCCCGTGGGGAACTATTTGAAGCTAGGAAAATGACATGGGGTACTAATACCTCCCTCCTCCCATTTGGTAGTCGCAGTCAGGGTCCAGGACAGGGGAGGATTGCCGCTACTAAACAACAAAACCTATGCTAGAGGTTAATTCATGGATCTGCTAGCATGCAGTATGATTTAAGCTTCAGTCCACTATTCCTTTTAACTTAATGTGAAAACTGTCATTTTGCTGTGATCTTGCATCTCCTCCAGGCCAAAGTGAAGGTAGCTGAGCAGACAGAAAAGGACATCGATATTACCCGGCTGGAATATGTTCCTGTGGCTGTCCGCACCCAGATTCTTTTCTTCTGCGTCTCAGACCTCTCCAACGTTGATCCCATGTACCAGTATTCCTTAGAATGGTTCCTCAACATATTTCTCACAGGAATTTCAAACTCTGAGAGAGCAGGTATTTCTAGAAGCTTAGAGTGTGTGGTGAGAATCTGCTCACCACCAGAATTGCTTGATACCTCACAAACGTCTTCAACACTAGAAGGACAAATTCAGCCCTTATCTAGTTTTTAGAGTTCATGGAGAATTAGATATGTATAGTGAAATCAGTAGTAGTTAGATGTAAGTCTTTGCAGAGCTTTTTCTTCCCTGGCTTAGCCGGAACTATCCTGAAGGGACAGCAATTTTGTTATTTGAACAAAAGAAGAAAACAAACTGTTAATATGAACATATAAACAATGTCAGTTTAGTACAAAATAGATTAAATCCCCAAATACTGTCTCCTGTTTCAGCCTAGATCTAGCCACTAAAACGAAATGGTCTCGGGCTCCTTCTGGAAGATACTCAGGCTTCTACTTTGATTATGGAGGGTCTTGTATATAAGCCCTGAATTTCAAAGACCAAGTGGTGACTTCCTAGATTGGAACAAAACTGATGTGCAAACTTTTTAGCCATGCAACTGTTCTTACCCTTTCCAAACCTTAATTAGGATCTAATGACTTGCCAGAGATACAAAATCTTAGTGGTCTGAATGTGTTAGTGTCTTGGGTTCAGGTGCAGGCCAGAGTGGCATTCATGAAGCTTGATCACATGCAGAGCTCTTCTTACTGGGGCTACTGTAAGCTCTTGGAGGATTGGCTACACTAGGGGTGTGTGGCCTAATATGCAAAGGCGCTCCTGCTACCAGTAGAGCCCTGCTAAGTCCATATAAATTGTGTGGGAGTTCTCTTTTTAAAGTACTCTCTTCATTTAGTATGAAAAGAACCGTTCCTTACCAATGAACTTTTTCCCCCAGCAAAAAATATGTAGCTATGTTCTGCAGACATTCTAGCATACTCCCTATCTTTAGGTCATGTTTGAAGGGCAACCGTCAAAGGGAAGCCATAAAAGGTGAGGCAGGCTTTCAGAGAACAATCCTTCTGGCCCAGGTCCTCCTTGAACAATGAACTTTCTCTTGGTCAATGATGGCGGCAGTTCACCCAGCCACGTTCCCATCTATGTTCCCTTCTAACCCATGTGCTCTGTTTCAGTTGATTGCTTCTTGTTCAGTGAAGCATACAAGTCACTGCATACAACCTGGCAAATTGTGGTTTGTACTCACTCTCCAGACCAGAATCACAAACCAGCTCTAAACTGTGGTTTAGAGTCTGGGTTTGGGCGGCAAGCATAACCCATAGTTTGCCAGTTTAGATGGAATGGCCAGTATTATTTGTGCTAAACAGGGACTGACTGAACTGGAATACATGAAGGGAGAAGAAGTAAACATTAGCTGGGTAGGAATGAGGTGTAATACCATTGTAAGTCTTTCCTTCCTTTTCACCCTTCACTTTCCAATTTCTGACCGGTTATTTTCAGACACACTGAAGAAGCGAATAGCAAATATCAATAAGTACCTCACCTTCAGCCTCTACAGCAATGTATGCCGCAGTCTCTTTGAGAAGCACAAGCTTATGTTTGCATTTCTCGTTGGGATCCGGATTATGATGAATGAAGGCAAGATCAACATGGTGAGTAAACTGCAGCTGTGCAATGGCAAACATCAATAAGGTTGTTTTTCAAAGTAGGCAGCTCTTTAGTTTACAGAGATGTCTGCAGAAGAACGTGATGCAGCTCCACACATTAAAATTGTCAGTGTTGCACTGGCATTTCCTGTAGCAACTGCGTAATGTGTGGATACCCTGCTCTCATCAGGGAGGGTTCTAAGACCAGGGCCCACCTACACGGTGTAACATTAGTGTCTCTTTTAACACTTTCAGTGTGTGGAGTTGCTCTCACACTGTGCTTCCAGGCATGCATATGGCCCTCATTGTGAGGAACATCCATGTCACCTTCAGGTCTCCAAGTAATGAAAGGTATGAACTGCCAACATGAGAAGAAAGTGCACAAGGAAGCAGAACTAAGGACAGCAGAAACTGGGTGTCCGTCATAGTCAAGAATGATGCCTTAGTTACATCTAGACTGGATTATTGCAGTGTGCTCTGCTTAGAGCTCGAGGAGTGTTCAGAAGCTGCAGCTAGTGCAGAATCCTGTAGCCAAAGTGCTGGTTGGGGTCAGCTATCGGGCGCATGTGACCCCAATGTTACAACAATTGCTCTGGCCACCAATTCATTCCCAAGCCCAATTCAAGGTGTTGGTTTTGGCTTGAGACCGGGGTGTCTGAAGGACCTTCTTATCCCATACATTCCTGCCTGGATACTAAGATAACAAGGAGAAGCCCTCTTGACAGTCCCGTCAACCAGAGACGTTCATCTGGTGGGTACACAAGAGAGGGCTTTCAAGTAGCAGCCCCATGCCTAGCCCCCCTCACTCCTGACCTTTAGGAGGCAGCTGAAGGCATTCAGGATGGCATTTGATTGATTTTATTCAAATTATCGATTTTAAACTAGTGGTTGTATGCATTTTGTTGTGTTCTATTGTCATTTATATTGTAAGCCACCTTGAAGGCAGAAAGGCGGCTAAACAATGTTTTAAATAAAAGGAAGTTTAAAAAATAAAAAGTATTTGAAAGAAACTTATATTTCATAGTGCTGTTTGCCTTTAAGCTTTACTCTTTCCAAGTGCCATATCCAGTCTGTTAGGCAATAGGGTCCTGCAAGCTAGGTGTCTTCCTGACTGGTAGTCCTGGCACATGGGGTCTTCTGAAGGACTGAGGATTAACTTCTCCTTTCTGTTGTCCCATTGACCTGCCTCTGATGAGGATGAAAGATGAGTTGGATTACATTTGAACAAATAGCTATTTACAATACACTTTAGAAAACAGAGGAATAAAAAGGAGTATGAGCTTTTTGAAAGAGAGTATGAACCCCTACTCCTGCACTGTTTGCATGTGTGAACTTTTGGAATAAGGCTAGCTCTGTTTTCCAAAATTCCCATTCGTAGTATGGCTTTCTGCACTGCAGGAAGCAGAACCTAGAGGAGCTCTGAATGTTAGCCTCCTGTGAAAGAAAAACATAACTAAATGTCCCTGGACTTAAAGCCTCTGCCATCATACAAAAGTAAGCTAAAAAGATTTTGCATTAAGTAGCAGGTTTTGTGGGCTTAGTTAAATGCAGGTGAGGATCCTATACATACATCTGAGGAGGTGGGCTCTACTGCTCAAAAGCTTAGGCTAGGATAAAATCTTGTTCGTTTTTAAGGTGCTACTGGACTCCTGTGTATTTTTGCTGCAGCAGACCAACGGGGCTGCTGTGCTCTGGAATAGCATTGGGGTGTTCTAGTGTCAGCCAATGCTCCCTCTAAGCTGCGGAGTCTTGTGAGCAAAAATTCTACTTTCTGAGCTACTGGTATTAAAGTTGTGAGCGAGTGATTTGCCTACTGCATGAATTAGTTTGCTCTGGAGCCATCCTTCCTGAACTAAGACAAAAATGTGTGAGCCAGAGGCTGAAAAACTGTGAGCTAGCTCACACTAATTCAGCTTAGAGGGACACACTGTTGTCAGCTTGTCCAAATCTTGACAAAAACACAAACCGTATCTTTTATTAGGATCAACCCAAAGACACATAACAACAGTTAAGTGTGCCAGCTTTTGAATTCACCAGAACTCTTATCCAGGCTAGATGTTAACAAAAACATTAAAAATAATTTTAACAGTTACAAAAAAAAAATTGGCAAGCCTGCCATCTATGGGCCAGAAAGAGGAATACATCCACAAATTCACACTGTTGGCCCAGCAGATTCACAGAAGGAAAATTAAGGGCTAAGACTTGATTTTTCTGCTTTGTAGCTGAATCTGCGTTCTGTCTGATTCCAATATGCAGGATGAATGGCGATATCTTTTGTCTGGTGGTGCTGTTAAGGTCCTGCGAGATAATCCAGCTCCAGAATGGCTATATGAGAGGGCATGGAATGATATCTTGGCCTTAAGCAACCTGGACAATTTTTCTAGCTTTGCAGATGACTTTGTGGCAAATCTGAATATTTTCCGAATCATTTTTGACAGCACTGAACCTCACAGGTAACTCTCCTTTCCATATAAGTGGATACCAGTAGAGATGTTGAATTTTGCTTGGCTGAGGGCACCCTCCCCTACACCTTCCTCTACAGTACATGTATTCAATGTATGTTTTAAAAGATCGTTTGTAAGTGACAGTTCTGTAGAAAAGTTGCAGGAAATAGATGTTTTCAAGGTCAACAATGGTAATTTCTTCATGGGTTATCTGCCCTGGCTATGACGTTGGAAAGCAGGTTTTTTCCCCCCTGCTCACAGCACTGTCATGCATTCGTGCACCTCCAGGGGTTTCATCAGCTTTTTCCCAATCTTTCTCAAACCTGCTTTGTGCAAAAGTTTTTGGGGAAATTGCAGTAAAGCCTGGATGGTTGCTGTGTGGGTGAAAATTTTGAATTTTCCCACCTACATGGAAGCTGGTTTCCCTGATTCTATTACTGTCATTTCCTCCCCCAGTACTAAGGAGCTTTTTTATTTTAAAAAAATCAGCACTAGCATATCTTTATATTCACCATTGTAGCAACAGGTGCGGCAGGTTCTCTGAATGTTCAGCTTTTTTAATCTCTATCCCTTTCCCTTGTGGAGCTATAAAGGAAAAGGCATATCTTTGCAACAGATGGAACCTGGGAATTCATAGAACCTGTTACACCTAATGTCACAACAGAATTAATGATATCCTAGTTCGGCAGGGAGATTTCTAAGTTGCAAACCCCCAGGGGTCCAGGGGAATGGGAGTGGCCAGTGCTGGGGGACTGGGTCGGGGAAACTGCAGTGAAACCTACCAGCTGGCTAGGCAGGTGGTGAGCTCCCCCTTACTAGTGGTCTTTAAGCAGCAGCTGGACAAACACTTGTCAGGGATGCTCTGGGCCAGAGGTGTCGAGCTCATTTGTTATGAGGGCCGGATCTGACATAAATGTCACTTTGTTGGGCCAGGCCATGTGTGCCATAAAATGTAACGCCAGGTACCAGAGATATAAACTTTATAAAGGACACAGACAAACCCAATAAACAATATTATATTTTGCTCAAAATACAAACAAAAGCACTTGATTTCTAGCAATGAAAGCAACTGATTTACTGGGGAACCCACAAAAGGCCCAATAAATGTATGTAAGACCAGTTTTTGTTTTTGTTTTACAAGGGATACCATAAAAGGGGGAAGTACCTTACATTTCCATACATTCCAGTTGCTTGTGGGCCAGGTAAGATGCCTGGGTGGGCCAGTTCCAGCCCCCAGGCCTTATGTTTGACACCCCTGCTCTAGGCTGATCCTGCATGAGCAGGGGGGGTTGGACTAGATGGCCTGTATGGCCCCTTCCGACTCTGCGCTTCGATGATTCTGTGTGGAAGCCTTGATGTCACTGCACTTTATCAGCAGCCATGCCAGCAACAGGGAAACCACACAAGCTCATCCCCATATGGAAACCACCAGTGTCTGTCCTCTGATCTAACATGTATATTTTTTCCTTTGTATAATGTGCAACTTGATACAGCCCATTCTTCTCTTGCAGAATGCCACTGCCTGGCATTTGGAACGTCAAACTGGATTCCTTTCAGAAGTTGCTTGTTCTGCGGTGCTTACGTGGAGACAAAGTCACCAATGCAATGCAGGACTTTGTGGCGGCACACTTGGGGCAGAACTTTATAGAGCCACAGGTACCCCATGGCAGTTGGAGGAGGGGAGGGGGATGTAGGTGTGATAGGAGCCAGTCCATTGTTGCAAGAGCCTTGCAGTGGTCCTTTCTAATTCCTGCCCAGTTTGAGTGGCGCCAAAGGAGGCGTAGCCAACAGCCTTTCAGCCTATGGTGGTGGAAGGTGCTGTCAAGTTGCTGACTTATGGCAACCCTGTAGGGTTTTCAAGACGAGATGTTCAGAGGTGGTTTGCCATGGCCTGCCTCTGCATTGCGACCCTGGACTTCCTTGAGGGTCTCCCATCCAAATACTAGCCAGGACCAGTGTTCCCTCTAAGCTGAGTAAGTGTGAGCTAGCTCACAGCTTTTTAGCCTCCGGCTCACACATTTTTGTCTTAGCTCAAGAAGGAGGGCTCCAGAGTAACCTAATTTATGCAGTAGCCAAGTCGCTTGCTCACAACTTTGATGCCAGTCGCTCACAAAGTGGAATTTTTGCTCACAAGACTCCACGGCTTAGAGGGAACATTGGCCAGGACCAATCCTGATTAGCTTCTGTGATATGATGAGATCGGGCCAGCCTGGGCCTTCCAGGTCAGGGCATTACTGCCTACAGTAGACAGCACGGAATCAAGCAGAAGTAGCAGTTCATTGACTGAGCAAACCTATATCTCCAGCATTGGCTTTCAGTTACTAACGACAGGATCCCTTTTTCCTTACATTTCAGACAGCAAACCTGAGTGTGGTGTTTAAGGAGTCTACTTCTACCACCCCCTTGATATTCATCCTGTCCCCAGGTACAGACCCAGCCGCTGATCTCTACAAGTTTGCTGAAGAAATGAAGTTCTCCAAGAAGCTCTCTGCTATTTCTCTTGGCCAAGGACAAGTAAATAAATTCATTCGTCCCTTTCCTGTTAACTCAGTCCAGAAGAATGTAGCTCTTACAACTGATTTGTATAAATCTGCTCCAGGTGCTTCTGGTTTTCCAAGAGTTTATTGACAGATATTTTTACCCTGCTTTTCTTATCAATGGGAACCAAAAGTTGTTTAAAATATAATTCTCCCCTTCTCCATTTTATCTTCAGAACAACAACCCTGTGTTGTAGGTTAGGCTGAGAGTGTGTGACTGGCCCAAGGTCATCCAGCAAGCTTCTCTGGCAGACTGGAGGCTCAAACCTGGGTCTCCCTGGTTGTAGTTTAATACTCCAACCAGTACACCATGCTGGCTCTCATATGTTATATTCAGGCCTCTGAAGACCTCTGTGTAGTAGGTCCCTGCCATTCCTATCTTTTAAATGGGGATCTAAAGCTAGGTGCTACTGATGGAGTCATCCATCCATCCATCTCAGGATGGCTTTGAATCCAACTCGCTCCCAAAATTACATCTCAAGATCAATGTTCCCTCTAAGAATGTATGGCTGCTGCATACATTCGTTTGCTCTGGAGCCATCCTTCCTGAGTCAAGGCAAAAATGTGTGAGCCAGAGGCTAAAAAACAGTGAGCTAGCTCACACTAACTCAGCTTAGCGGGAACCCTGCAAGATCACTGCCTGCCCATTGTGCAGGTATGCCTTCCATTCAGTCTTGCACTGCAAGCTTCTTTCATACTTGTTTACTTCAGAAATTCTGAGCAATGAAAGAACAACAAAGAGTCTTGGAGCCCTTTGGAGATTAACAAATGTGTATAAATACATTAACTGTTGTTCAACTTTTTGCAGTTCTGACAGTGACTTGCAAAATGGAAGCATTCACATTAAATAGCACTACCATTCTTAATAGCCTCTGGTGAAATGGCTGTTACTCTCAGATAGCTCCTCTTGCTAGATCCTCTGGGAGATGGTGGGACCCAAAGGAGTATAAATGAAGTTCCCCCTATTTTTGTACCTGCTTGTATGACAGATATTGGATATTGCTCACAGAGACTTGGAATATAGATCCAGGTGGCCAGCCGTGTTGGTGTGAAGCAGTAGACCAGATTTAGAGTTCAGTGGCACCTTTAAGACCAAAACTTTGTTGGTCTTAAAGGTGCCACTGGACTCTAAATTTGTTCTAAGACTTGGAATCTTTGTTTTAAGGAAAAACTGAAAATCTCAGGTTGCTTACTTTTGCTCCCAGCACTAAATAGCATGCTTGTATAGCGTGACCATACATCTGAGGAATGGACACAGCCTTGAACAGTTCTGTGTTGCTTCTTAGGGTCCCCGTGCAGAAGCCATGATGCGCAGCGCTATGGAACGTGGGAAGTGGGTCTTCTTCCAGAATTGCCACTTGGCTCCAAGCTGGATGCCATCTTTGGAAAGACTCATTGAAAGTATTAACCCAGACAAGGTGACTTGCATGTGTGCTTTCTTTCTGTGGGTATTCTCTTTTTTTAATCTGAAGACAATGTTATACATCACATGGGAAGTCTCTGCCCTTCCTCCTAGTCACAGCAACTCCAATCAGATGTTGCCTGCTCCATCCCAAGGTCATCCACTTTCAAGGGAAGGAGCTTTTCAAAAGTTCGCAGTTCTTCTGCTGAAGTCTGGATAGTTTTCAGCAGTAACTTAAAAGCATCTGCAGGCCTCCTCTTTGAAAATGTTTAAATTTATAGCAAAGTAATCAGAGTGATTGGAGAGTAATAGTCATCACTTGTCTCTCTGCTTCCTTTCAAAATTTCATGTGACCCTAACTAGAACCTGGAAGTGGTTGTAAAAAGCTGAATGGGCCATAGAATTCAGAGTTTCCACAATGAAGTGTGATTGCAAGATGAAACAGAACCCCCCTGTGAATGTTTGTTCTGTCTCTAGGAGTTTATAGTGTACTGAAAGTGTGTAATTGTATCTGGAATTACAGGTAGCCATAATGGTCCTTACAAAAATTCAAAAGCAAAGCAGTAATAGTGGTCCTCTTTTTAGGATAACCTATACCTGAAAGATCTCTTGAGTAAAGTACTTTTGATGTTCTTGAAAGACCACAATGACAAGTAGGAATGGGAACGAACTGTGGAAAATGCAGTTCGGTTCATGGTTCGTCACAAACGTTTAACAGCCAAATGAACTGGTTTGGTTCATGAGGCTCATGACCCAGTAGAATGCATCCTGTGCAAGCTAGAGACACCAAACTCAGAGGGGATCTCTGGCTGACACTGAGGATTTGGTTTACAGGGTCTGTTATGGCCCCCCAAAAAGGTGCCCACAGGAAAGTGCTTGTCATTTTAACAGGCGCTGGTTCAGGAGCGTATAGAACGGATCCTGTGTAAACCAGAGACATCAAAGTCACGGGACCTCCCCCAGATGCTTCTTTACATGACTTCCAAGTTCTGCCCCCCCCAGTTGCTTTGAAGTTTGGTAAACATTTAAATGGAGTGGAGACGTCTGCCTGGAAATGTATCCATTCACAAACCAGCAGAGCCTCGACAGACAGCTTAAAAGTTTGTGGAAAGTTCGTGCCAGTTGACCTGCCATGAACTTCACTTTGTGAACCATGAACCACCTAAAATTGGTCACAAACTTTAGTTCGTGAGCTGGTTTGTGCCCATCCCTAATGATAAGCCAGAAATCTTTCTCAGATTTTTCCCTCTTGCCTTGAAAACCCTATGGGGTTGCCATAAATTGGCTGCGACTTGACAGCACTTTCTGTTACAATTTGATCTACCCTTAATGGAAGAACACTTCTCTTATGATGGCAGAAAGAACTCTTTAATGGAAAACTTAATTCTTTCCCTTTCCCTATGGTGGTACATTATTTTATTTTCATCTTTCAATTTTCTAGGTGCACCGGGACTTCCGCCTTTGGCTCACCAGTTTGCCTAGTAACAAGTTTCCAGTGTCCATCCTCCAAAATGGATCCAAGATGACAATTGAGCCACCACGAGGAGTAAAGGCCAATCTGCTGAAGTCTTACATGAGCCTCAGCAATGACTTCTTGAACTCCTGTTCTAAGGTAAGAGATCAGCCAGCTCTTTACCAGATTTCTCTAACCTGAACCTGCATTTGCATTGAATCAGTTCAGTCCAACTGTACTTCTGCAGCAAGATATCCACAATTGTCATCGAAAATCTGCTGGTTTTAACAGATGCAGAAAGAAATAAAGGGGGGTGCTTTAGTCTTTTTAGAATATGTTTTTAGGATTATTCCTCTCTTCTTGGTGAACAATGTTCAGTAATGATGTGCATTCCCTACAGTGGGATAAAGGCCAACAAGAGTCACATTTCAGTCCTGAAAGCACAGTGACACCTAAAGTTGTTATTTTAACACTTTAGCTTGTGATATTTAGAACCAATGTGAACATGTTTGGGATCAGGCACACATTAGTAGGCATGCTATCTGTATTATTTCCATGCTTTGCAGATTTCAGAGTTCAAGTCCTTGCTCCTCTCCCTTTGCCTCTTCCATGGGAATGCCCTGGAAAGGAGGAAGTTTGGGCCACTGGGCTTCAATATTCCTTATGAGTTCACTGATGGAGACCTGCGCATCTGCATAAGTCAGCTAAAGATGTTCCTGGATGAATATCAAGACATCCCCTACAAAGTAAGATGGATACAGTGCATACAACATGGAAGTGAGAAGCATTGGAACTATCTGTCATGTTTTTACCATTCATATTCTCCTCATAATGAAAGTCCTCTGAACCAGAGAATTTCTCTACTTCATTTAATGAAGAATTCTCTTGTATAGTAGGTTACATGAAAGCATGAATTAAACCCTGCTGGGCTCTCTAGAGATCTTCAACCTTTGTATTATGCTGCCTTGCCAAATTGCTATTTACTACAAATATCAACTGCAGTCTCCTCCTCCTCCTACAAGTCAGAATAACCTGGCCACAAGAACTATAGGTGTCTTCAGTTTTAACTACTCAGATGTTTGAACTAGATTAATTTGGACGGCTCCAAATTAATGGCCTTCATGTGGCCATACAATTTTGGGAGGATTTTTTTTGAGCTCCAGTTATCCACAGTGTTGTTCACAATCAATATATCTAATTCTCAATGTGATCACATCTGTGAATACTTAAATCCAGAGACTGGATCCATGAACACATAAGACAAATCTATTTTACAAACCCGAAAAAGCCCCAGGTTTGTAGAAAACTCTGAAATTAAAAAACAAACAAACACTGAGGGTTAATGGTCCCAAAGCAGCACCTGTAGCCTTAAGAAATGCATGCCCTCTTAGTGGCTGTTGCTAGGCAACCACAACAGCATTGCCAGCATTCAAGCCTTGGTTTCAGTTAGTGAAAGACAGCGGAAGGGCCCTTTCAGGGCTGTTTTGGCCTTTGAAGGAGGACTCACCAGGCAGCTCCCCTGGCAGCTTGCATTGTTCAACAGCAACCAAGCCAGTGGTTACAGTTTCAGACTAGAATCTGGGAGACCCAGGTTTGAATCCCCACTCTGCCATAGAAGCTCATTGGGTGACTTTGGACCAGTCACACACTCTCATCTTAACCTAGTTTACAGGGTTGGTGTGAGGATAGAATGGAGGAGCAGAGAACGCTGTAAGCTGCTTTGGGTTTCCATTGTGGAGAAAGGTGTGGTATAAATTAGGTAAATAAATAATAAATATAGCAGGAGATTGAGGGGGCAGGTTAGTTGGTTTGTTGGTGGGAGAAAAGGAAGCAGGTAAGGTAAGGATACAGGACGTTGCTAGGAGAAAGAGGAAACAATGTGCAGAGTGGGATGCAGGAAATTGAGGTACCCCTCACAAAACCTTGCTGGTTCCCTGCCATGTACCTAAGCCCAGCCCAGTGGCCAGCAACACACAGAATCAAATAAGTATCCGCACACCAGGGGGCGACTTGGCTATTAGATATATAGATAGATTGGCTGGTGAGTGGGAAGGAGAGCGGGAAAAGCGGTGAGGTTATGGGAGCTTTCAGGAAAGAGAATGTGGAAATAGTGGCAGTCAGGGAAATGAGATACCCTTCACAAGTCCTTGTGGGTCTCCCATGTGCCGCATTACACAACCAAGGCCCTGTCCCCAATATTAACATGTATATCAACATCAACAGCTGATATAACCCAGACCATGATGGGAACTGACTGATTGCTTGCTGGATGCTTTTCATGCCTGCCACTGTATATGAACTGTTCTTAGCACTAGCACTTTGGAATGTTTTATATTTATTTTGTCATGACCAAAGACCCATGTGCAGTTTTGCGCATACACATGGATGGTGGATTTCATACACACCCACCTTATTGTGCGTTTTGGTTTGGGAGGGGGAGTGCAAAGAACTTCAAACAAATAGTAGGGACTGGAGAGAGAGCCTTCTGCTGATGCACAGACATAGATGTGTCTAAGCCAAAACCCTTTCTGTCATTTCTACTTCCTGGTCCGTTGCAGGTTCTGAAGTACACTGCTGGTGAGATTAATTATGGAGGTCGAGTGACTGACGATTGGGATCGACGCTGCATCATGAATATTTTAGAAGATTTCTATAACCCAGATGTTTTAATTCCAGAGTTCCATTATTCAGAATCTGGTATCTATAAGCAGATTAATACCACATATGACCTTAATGTAAGTTGAACAAAATAAACAAATACATTGCCCCCATAGGAAGAACCTTGCCGTAGAAAGGACCTTACATTTTTCTTTTGACTTGCCTGAGTTCTGTCGATCAGAAGAAAAACGTAAGGTCCTTCCTACGGCAAGGGAGGAGGTGAGGAAAATGTAACTTATAGTGAGGCTCTGAATGTCCTATTATCTTTCTGCTTTAGCAAACTGAAGGCAATAAAGTTAATTATTGTTCTGGAAGTTTGTACTGATTTGTTAATATCTCTGTCCAGTGAAGTGGTTCTTGGGGGAAAATGTTAGCACAAACAGTTGTCTATAAATAACTAATTTGGGTTAAAAGGTAGAGTATCAGTGATCTAGGAGACTAGGGTTCAAATTGCCACCCTGCCATGGAAGTTCATTGGGTGACCTTGGGCTAATGAGTCTTTCCCAACCTAACCTACCTCACTAAGTTGTTGTGAAGATAAGGTAGAAGAAGGGAGAATACAGTTGTAAGTCACTTTGCATCCCCATAAGGGAGAAAATTCTGAAGGGTTTTCCCCCCCAGGATAACCTCAGAAGAAGAAAAAATAGAACTTGAAGTTTGGGGGGAAATAATGTAACCCAAAGTTGTGATATTTTTGCTGCCATTTTGAGGAATGTGGAACCAGGCAGGTGGAGACAGTGGTGCTGCAGGCAGCTGGGGGGGGAGGAGTGGGAGTTGTCTGTAAGCGGGTGGGCGGGCAGGGAGGCGGACAGTGGGAGGCAACACTGCCGAGCAAGGGGGAAAGGTGACTTCTCCCCACTGGGAGTCTTGCAGGTTCCCTGCTTGTAAACTTTGTATTATGCTTATGTGCTTCTGAAGCAGGTTCGATCAAGAAGGTAATTAGAGAGTGCTGCCATTGGATTTTTTTTTCTTTTCTTTCGCTCTTCTTTACAACTGGTGAGTTTCTAAAAGCTATTCTTCCTCACTGTGCTGCATGTTGATTTTTCCATAGGGATACATTCAATACATCAAGAGCCTCCCCCTCAATGACATGCCTGAGATCTTTGGTTTGCATGACAATGCTAACATCACCTTTGCTCAGAATGAGACCTTTGCATTGCTCGGGGCCATTATTCAGCTCCAGCCAAAAGCATCAAAGGCAGGAGGACGAAGCAGGGAGGAGGTTTGTAAACCCATTTCCTGGGGGTCACTAACAGTCTTTATCTAGAAACCCAGACTTAGAGCAGGTCGTGTGCATGCCACAGTTTGACAAGAGTGTGGGGAGGTGAGCACAGTGATGTAGGGTGCAGCATTCAGCTTCCTGGGAATCTCCGTTGTCATTTAAAACTAACACATTTCTAGCCTTTATGCCTGCAAAGATATGCTTGCAAGATACATAGTCATTAAAGCTTGCTAAAACCTCAGAAGCCAAAGGGATGACTGAAAAGGTTTCCAGTGCTTCAGACCCTGCACAGCTCTTTGGCCTAACTAAATTCTACGGAATAAATTGTGCAAATCTGATGACTAAGCATTAAGTTATGCAGGTCACAGAATCTAGACTTTCTTGGAGCAGAATTTCATGGTTTTAAATGCAGACTACTTCTATCCCTGGCTATAGAGCTTTCCCACTGTAGGAGGCTTCTTACGACAAATTCAAATACCAAAGGTCACGAAGTGTTATTGCTGAAGAGTGAGGGGAAAGCAAAATGGCCTTTAAGTAAGCCCCAAAGCCCAACTGTAATTAAATTCTAAAAGTAAGTAGGGAGCTTAAACTAGAAAGTAATTAACTTCCACTTGGACAAAGGCCTCTCTTCTGTCATCCAATTAAATAAGACACCATCTCTGAACCTCCCTACCCTCAAACAGCTTTTTGTCTCCTTGCCATCCATGTTCTAGCTTGTGGAACAATCCTCAAGAGAGATACTGGAAAAGGTACCTCAACCCATCAACTTACAGGAAGTAATGCTGAAATACCCTGTGCAGTACGAGGAGTCCATGAATACAGTTCTGGTACAGGAGGTGATCAGGTATGATACTTAATTTGATGTGGATTATAATTCCAGATGGGTAGCTATGTCAACCCACAGCAGCACAATAAAACATGGATTAACTTCATCATATCTGATGAACTGAACTCTGACACACAAACATTTATGCTGAAATAAATTTTGTTAAAGAGTTTCAGGTGCCACCAAACTCCTTATTTTGTTTTACTTTGACCCAGCTGTAAACCCTGGTTATATCTCTGTCTGCCATAATCACCAAAGAAGTAAATTGATGCCAATAGAACTTCAGCTGCCAGGGGAAGAAAGTGGGTACAATGAATCTGCAGGCAAATATTTTTGATGGCTGAGGAGGGAGCTACTTTCTAGCATTCAGGAAGGTCAAGAGCCACTTGCAGTTTTTGTTAGTCACCCAGCTTCTATTGAACATGCAGTTAGTATGAGATATTAGAAACAAGTCCTTCCTAAGTGAGTGTGCTGTTATAGGAATCCATGGGCTTGGATCCCATGGAGAATCTCCTGACAGAAGAGATTCTCACCAGCAGAGTGCAATTTCCTCACACACGCCCCCACTGCAGCCCCAAACACACCCCAATACCACTCGTAGGGGACTGCCCCCCGGAACAGCATGAAGGGGGGAATCATCAAAGCAACCTTCCTTTCTGTTAGCTCACATTTACCTTGCAGGATCAAACCCATTGTTAATGGAAGATATTTGTCCCACGGAGATGACTCACTACAGCACTCATAACCATGGCTGCAGTTCACAATATCAGGAAGATGAAGAAAAGGATGATAACATAGGTTATTTAGGCCTGCTATTAAAATTGGGCTATTCTCATGAGCAAAACCAATGCATGATGAAGACATTGATCTTTCCCTCCAGTCTGAGGGCTGAATTATGCTTAACAGCTGTGAAACTCCACACCTGCACAAGGAAAGATGTATTCAGAAAAATGCGTGAGACAGAATGAGCAGTTAAGCTCGCCTATAATGCCTGGCTTCATAGTGCTCCAAATGCATTGATTAGCTCCGCATAAAAATGCACTGATTTTGGCAGGCAGGATTGAAACAATTAAATTATCAAACTGGAATTACTGGGAACTTTTCTAAAAAATGTAATGGGTATCCCCAATATAGCATTTTTGTTTCAAGGTGTCTATAATATTTAGTTGTGAACATACATATTTAACAGGTAAATAGCAGTCCCAAGGTTCACACATACTGTGATATCCAAAGTAAGGCCACATTCAAAGAATAACAACTTACTAGTGATCCCTGGCTCTAGGGATGTCCAGCTGTCCTTGACCAGAGCCTTCTCAGACCTGGTAGAACTCTCTGCCAAATGACATCAGGGCCCTGAGGGATCTTATGCAATTCCACAGGGCCTGTAAGGCAGCGATGTTCCGCCAGGCTTTTGGTTGAGAACAGCAACGGTTACCTCCCCCCTTTTTCTCTGTTCTTTTCCCCCCTGCCCAGAAAACAGGCTGGGAGCAATGTTCCCTCTAAGCTGAGTTAGTGTGAGCTAGCTCACAGTTTTTTAGCCTCTGGCTCACACCTTTTGTCTTCGCTCAGGAAGGATGGCTCCAGAGCAAACTAATTTATGCAGTAGCCAAATTGCTCGCTCACAACTTTAATGCCAGTAGCTCACAAAGTAGAATTTTTGCCCACAAGACTCCACAGCTTAGAGGGAGCCTTGGCTGGGAGTCCAGAATTGTGACAAGTAATATTATAGGAAAATTGCCATCTTGGATCTTTTATTCTGTATTGTAATTTTTATTAAGTTATATAATGAATTTTAATGTTTTTGTATATCTTATGGCATCATGCCTTGTACATCATCCAGAGCCCAGCATAAGCTGGGATAGGGCAATTAATAAATCTAATAAATTATTATTATTATTATTTACTCAAGCTGCTACCAAGGTAGCCTCCATCAAAAGTGGCTAAGATCCCTAGGTTTTCATTGCTGTTTCAGTGTACAAAGACTCACAAGAAATGTATGGGGAACTGTCAAAATTAAGGTTGGCTTACTTTGACTTTCTTTTTGCACAGGTATAATCGCTTACTAGAAGTGATTGCAGTGTCTCTGAAAGATCTGCTGAAAGCTCTCAAAGGCCTAGTTGTTATGTCATCACAGCTAGAGCTGATGGCCAACAGCTTGTATAACAACATAGTCCCAGAAATGTGGAACAGCAAGGTACTACTGCTTGATGGGCAATTATTTCTATAGTTGAGGTGCTTAGCAAGCCATACTGCATGGATTCTGTAGAAATGGGCTGTTTCAACATGATGTTTCAGTTGGCTGCTGTGGGTGACCATCCTTTTTTAAATAACATCAAGTCATACCGTAATTCCTCAGTGGCGCAAAGAGTACAGCCAACCTAGAAGGGAATAACTGTAGGTTGTATTTTAGAAATCTAGGATCATGAATTCTGAGCTATGCATTCACTAATGAACTAGAGTTAAGTTTGTGTTAGAAGCATCCTTTGTATTACTGACACATTTTTCTGAGGCTAGTCTCTCAACAGAGTACCATTGTATTTGTCCTCTCCCACAGGCATACCCCTCCCTAAAACCCTTGGCTTCCTGGGTGAATGACCTGCTGCTACGCATTGATTTCTTGAAAAAATGGATTGATAAAGGGATACCCCCTGTGTTCTGGATCAGTGGCTTCTTCTTCCCCCAGGCCTTTTTAACAGGGACATTACAGAATTTTGCCAGGAAATGCGTCATATCCATAGATACCATCTCGTTTGATTTTAAGGTCAGTGAGACAGGTTATAGTAACATTTAAGCAACTCGTGCTCTCTATAAACATAACCTAAAGAATGCATACACCATATCTCAGGTTGCCAGATCCTGGTTCTGTTAACCTGAATAGTTGCTACCCCATACCACGAGTTTCACGCAGTGAATCTACTACAAGTGTAAATTAATGAATCCATTATACTCTAGGTTTCATATTGCTCAAAACTGACAGGTTTCCCACACTTCGGTGTTTTTTGTTGGGTTTCTTTTTTGTGAAAGCCAACTCCCCCCCCCCTCTCAATTTAGGTAATGATCCAGCCTGCGAACGAACTAACTGAACGCCCTCGTGTGGGATGTTACATTCATGGCTTATTTCTGGAGGGGGCTCGGTGGGACCCATTGTACTTTCAGCTCACAGAATCACGGCCTAAAGAGCTGTACACAGAAATGGCAGTCATCTGGTTGGTTCCTGAGCCCAACCGCAAGCCTCCGAGCAAAGGCATCTATCTGTGTCCCATCTATAAGACACTCACTCGTGCAGGTAAGCATTTATTAAGTTGAAACCTTCAGTATACCTCCCAATACCGGACCAGGGCAGGCCCAGAACTTTTCCCTGTTGAACTGTAGGTGGGTTGTTTGGATCTCGGAAGGAAATTTCCCTTTGCATCTTTGACCTAGTCTTACTATCAAGTATAAGATAAAAGGCCAGCCCTGTTCACCCATGAAGCTGCCTTGTACTGAATCAGATCATTAGTCCATCAAGGTCAGTAATGCCTACTCAGACTGGCAGTGGCTCTTTCCAGGGCCCCAAGCACAAGTCTTTAACATCCCCCTACTGCCTGGTCCTTTTTATCTGGAAACGCCAGGAATATGAATCTGGGACCTTCTGCATGCCAAGCAGATACTGTCAACTGAGCCTTGACATCCCCCCTAGTACCACCAGGGGCACTACTTGTCTTGCATAGGAAGGAAGATACAGGTTATTTTTTGTATGTTGTAGTACTGTTCAATAAAGGGGGAGCATATTCTGTGCTCTTAGAAACTGCACATTCATGGCAGTTTTCTTGATTTTGCAAAACTTGTCTAAAATATTTGAGGAAGGAAAGTGAGCATTATAGGACACTGCAGTTCTGCCCCAATCAGTAGAAACTTTTCCAAACATACCTGTACTAGGCTGCAAATTGTTAGCTGAATTCTGCACCCACTTTATTTTCTTTGCATAGAATACTCCTACCCTGTGGAATACTAACTTTAATGGAGCCATATTTTACTTAGGACTAAGAATAACATCTCAGACATTGTATGTTCAATAAAACCCAGCTGTCTCATGTTTGCAGCCACCTTCCTTTGTTGTTTGAGCAGCTGTGGTATGAAATGATTAAACAGTCTAGCCACAGAGTGGGCCAGGTGAACTTTCCAGTCACTGCTAAAACAGATTCTTCCTGGCAAGCAACTGCTTGCCATCATTTGTCTCCCAGTCTGCTGTGACTTTCTACTCCCCAGCAGCTACTGCCTGATATACTTATGAGAGAGGTTTTGCTTTCACTTTGACTCACAACACTTGTAAGAAGAGCAGTATTAAAAACAATGCATCTTTTGCGTTCCAAGAAGTAGTCTGGTAGTTATTCTTCCTATACTGTGGTACCATCTACTGTGGCTTTGTTTCTATCATAGGGACACTGTCAACAACTGGTCATTCCACCAACTATGTGATTGCCGTTGAAATCCCTACCCCCAAGCCTCAGAGGCACTGGATCAAACGAGGTGTTGCCTTGATTTGTGCCTTGGACTTCTAAGCAATAAAACAGATGAGCTTTCTTCTAAAGCAATAAATCTCTGCACCACTGGACTTGTTTGATGAATTTTCACCTGGAAAGAAGCTCATCTGACTAGAATAATACAAGATTTTGTTTCATGAAGCCAATTGACTTTTACTAATATAACTATTTTAGTTGCACAGATTACTTTAGTGCTGTAAAAGAGTGTTTTTGACTGATCCTACGGACTGTGCTATAAGGTGACATCTAGTTTTTCAACTCAATCATAAACAAATGTAATTAATGTTAATATTAAAATGAGCATTATTCTCACTATATTCCTATTGTAAGATTCAGTGCTGATCAGCCTTCCAGATGTAGTCATTTCTCTTGGGAAAGCAAAAAAAGCTACTGTGTAATTCTCTTGGAGGAACCATGTTCTGAATCTCAGTAGTTCATGCATCACACCACCGTGCTTAGGTTCTTGCTGCTAAAAGTTGAGGACTCAAGCACTTCCCAGAGATCTAGTACAGCATGTAGCTATTTGGTACCACTTTGACAGCTCCATCTACTGGTCCAACAGGTATAGGTTTTATTTTTTTGAACTTGGTATTTACAACACTTGAAACCAACAAAGCAAGGGACAGATCATTCTGTCCACATATTAAAAGGAAATCCTATTGTCAGCACCAGTACACAAGGGAAAGCAAAAGAAGTTATGTTTGCAGCTGCATTATCCTCTTCTCACAAACTGGCCTCTGCATCTTGTGGTCCTTTGAATGCCACTGCTTGCACTGGGGTGCAAGAGGAGATTCAGCTATTCACATTCGAGTTACAAGCGGGGGGAGGACAAAGGGGTCTTTGGAATAGCAGTTTGGATAAGGTAGAAAACTAACTTATTATAGCCCACTATTTCTCTTTTGTCTTAATCCACGTTTACAAATGTTGCTGTCAAGGCCACACAATGCATAAATTCATTTTCGACACAAGGTACCTTTTGCCTGGAAAGAAAAGAAAACTAATCTGCATAAAGCAGCTGAGGAGCAACAAGGAACTCCTAAGTGCTGTAATGACAGTATGGGTACCAACTACATGAACTGGTTTTACCTTTAAATCCTTTGCTGCAATGGGAGACAGTAACCAGTGAGGTAGCAGGTAGTTCAGCCATGGAGTCAGCATCGGGAAGGTACACAGCTGCTGATGTCATCCCAAGCTGGGTCCTGCACTCTTAACCCAGCTGCCACCTTTCAGCAAGCTAAGGCTGGGGCAGGCCTTCTCACCCTTGAGTGGTGACCACAGTACCCACACCTGCCAAAGTCACATCTACTACTGCAGTGGGACAGAAAACCAATTATCTGAGTTGTCAGCATTGAATACCAAGAGGCAGGGGCCAATTCTCTTTTACTGGCAGCTGTCAAGAAGCTGTTCTCCCATGGCTTTTTCCACAGCATAACCGAAATATATACACATGCACACACAACAAAACCATGGTTCTTACCCATTTAACACTCCTCCAGGCTGATTATTTTTGTTGTGTGATGACAATGGGACTTTTTGCCTATTCTCTCCCCGCCACAATACTTCTAGCAGATTTAAAGCATCTCATGTATCACTGATCCAGCCATGTCTAAGCTGTCGCATCTTGGGGGAGGAGGCTGGGTTAACAATATGATTTTGGGCAGCACTATATGAAGAAACGCAGAAGGCTCAAGTTTACCAGCCTGAAGACCTGAGCCTCAGCTGCGTTACTGAAGATTCCACAGGTACAGAAGACCAGAGAGCAGCAACTCTTAAGGCTGCTAGGCTCCCACCTGCTAAGACACAGGCTTCATACATACGCATCACATTGTACACACTCACCTCAAACAGGTGAAGCCACCTGGAGAAAAAAACAAACAAGAGAACTGATACTGAATGGAAAGCCTACTTGCAAAGAACAAGAGAAAGAACAGAATGACTCAAATGCATAGCAAGCAGTAGATTCCTGAAATGGGAGGAAGAGCAACAACAACAAAAAAAGATCAGCAACCACTTGTATTCCATTATAATGACAGGAGCATATTGGTCAGAACAGAAACAATCTATTTAATGCAAAAAATAGGTGTCAGTTTCCCATGGAGTGCAGAGTAAAAGCACTGGCAGAGAACACTACTTTGTTTATTCCAGCTCTCTGAGACTAAACCTACCGCTGCATTAAATTAACACCAGCCCCGATGCCCTTCCGGAAAGCAGCAAAGACTGACTTACCCCTTTAACTGGTACAGAGTCTCTGAAGATTGCCACTATCTGTGGCAAAATATACTGCAAGTGGGTTGAGGGCCCTGAGCAACAAGTTCAAGGGCTATGTCAGCAGGTCCTTCAAATGGGGGCCAGTCCTTACATTTCCAGGCATCTTCTCTTGTGGGAAAATATAAGATATATATATATAAAGGTGGGATTCCCACATGGCAGCCACCATGGGGGAGAGGGGAGAGAGGCATCTAAAGCCCAGCTGAATGCAATGGGATTCATGTGCAACATTACACTAACACTGATGGCTTGGGCAGAGCAGTCCAGTGCAGAGCCTCACTGTTCAGCACTGGCACAGAAATGCCTGGAATTTGCACCACATGATCAACAGCAGCAAGCAGTGCACACAAGAGTACTGTCCAAAGACTGATGCTATTGACGTTTGGCTTTATACGGCCGGGAACGTTTCCGCCGATCTGGCTTCCGTTGCTTGTGGAGGCGCCCAATGCTGACTCCTTGCCGTCTACGGACGGAGATGTTTTGCTCTACAAGGCTAGCCAGCATTCCTATATCGAGAGTTCAAACAAGAAACGACTGCTAAGTAAGGATGCTCTTAACTCCCTTTCCAGACATTTCAAAACACAGTTCCCCTATAAACTCAGGTACTCCAAGTCTTGGGCATTGTGTTACAGAAAGGTCCATTTAGTAGTCTAAAATCAAGTGTCCAGGCACTGCATCAACCCAAACCCATAACTCCCTTTCCAGACATTTCAAAACACAGTCCCCCTATAAACCCAGGTACTCCAAGTCTTGGGCATCCTGTTACAGAAAGGTCCATTTGGTAGTCTAAAATCAAGTATCCAGGCACTGCATCAACCCAAACCCATTCAAATATAAAAACTCTTCCCCACCATGGTCAAGAATAGTAAAATGCTTTGACATGGTCCCACCAACAGATTAACCAGAGTTTAGAAACCCCCTTTTGGAGCTTGTGACAAAGAGAAGGAAAAAGGTTTCTCTTTCGACAAACTTCCACCATGCCCACTTCCTTCCAACCCAGCACCACTATCTGCCCAAAGAGGCTCTAACTGCTTGCCCTCAATTGCACAGCTTTTGCATGTGTCATTCCCAACCAGAGAGCTCATCTGGGATACTGGACGGAACTGAGGAACTAGGGAGCATGTACAAAATACATTATGAGCAAGTAGCTCACTGCTTTTGCTGACAAAACCACTTGATATATTCTGCCTCAGTTCCAACCAGTGAAGATGGCTTCTTTTTGACAATGCCAAGATTCAGGCAGAAGTACTACAGGGTTTACCAGCCACTTGCTCAAACCACAGAGTACATTCTGTTTCAAGAATCAAGAAGAGAAGGCATGAATAAGCTTCAGACAACAAGGGAGGGACATGGAGAAGGTTTAGGGATTTAAGGTAATAGTACCCCAAACAGATTCTAGGTTGGGATGTTCTGAAGGACCTGTTCCCTTTAAGGCAATTCAGGGTCTTCAAAGGTAAATGCTTCTCTAACAAGATAGTTTTTCCACACTGAATGCAAAGACAACAGGACATAATGGTGCACCTAGCTGAATTCTCCCTCAACTTTTGATACTCCTCCTCTTCTGCTCTGCATGTTTCTCTCTTTGAACTGGTTTTCTTATATTAAAAGGTTTCTTTACATGTGTTCTGAGCTGCTTTAACTGGCTCATTTACTTGAGCCATCTAGATCACCCCCAGGTCACAAGTGGGGTACACGTCACAAGTGGGGTACCATACTTCCTGCTTCTCTGTTTGCATGCACATGGAGAGAAGGAGCAGGATGGCAAGGAGAGCAAACTCATATCACAGAGCACTCCACTTTAGCACAGGTAGGTTCAGAACCTACTCCTCATAAAAGCTCTCCCTAACTAGGCCACTCTCCATCCTGCCAGTTGGTTTTCCAGTGCTCCACACATACTTGCTGTCTACAGCCCCCTTCCCCCACTGGTGAGGTGATTCTTCTGGGCCCTCCTATTCCTGTCACATCATTCTAACTTTGCGTGATTTTCCATCACTTGGCTGCAGCTCAGTGCCATCTGGGCACTGAACATGGGTCTCAAGCCTGGACCACTGATCAAGGTTTTTTCCATGTATTATTTTCAAGGCACTTTTGATACAATTTTGTTTGTATGACCGCCACCTTCTGCCTACCACAGATCCTCCACATTTTGACAGCATTCTATCTTCATGCTGGGAACAGCTTCTACTGTTGAACTTGGAAAGTTTGCTTTTAACCACTGCACGGACAAACTGCACAAGACCTACTTTTACAAACTAGATCGGCAAGATTTCCTGTTGTAGTTCTGTTTGGAAAAAGATTATTTTAGCAGCAACTAAGACTAGAATAAAACCTTTAGTTAGAATTTGACTGTAATACCCCTCATATACTTGAATGTAAACTTTGTTGAAATCAGTTACTTTACTTTTAAGTGAAATATCTTTCACATTGGCATCTTAAGGTGTCACTCCCCTCAGATGGAACTCCGCTCAGAATCAACTTCACCACTTTTTGCCTGGCCAAATTCTTCTAGTGTTTCTACTGCTCTACATAATACTCACCTTCCTGTGCCAGCATGGAGATAAAGGTGCAAATGAATTCATCATAATTGTGAGTTCTTCTCTGGTCATCAATCTATACAGACACAACAGAAAAGAGCAAAAGAACTGTTCAGAAACTGTGTTCAAGCATGTTAAAAGAAATCTGACCAATATTAATGAATCTTTGACAGCCTAGTAAGATAAAAGCTAAGTCTGCATTGCCACATAATACAGTCAAGAGCAGCTCAGGCAATCAACAGGACACCAGAGTCAGCTTGGCAAGTGGGTGGGTAGTGGGCTGGGCTCTGGAGTTCCCGAGACTAATAGTTCTTGGGGACTTCAATGTCCATGCTGACACTGCAGACACCGGGAAGGCTGCAGACCTGGTGTCATCCATGGCGGCACTAGGACTCTCCCACATTGTATCAGGTCCCACACATCAGGCAGGCTACACGCTAGGCCTGATTTTTGGCATGGGGATAAATATGGATCTGGTAGATAAGGATAAAGGTCAGATCACTTTGCCCTAAAGGCCTGGATGGACATCCCACCCATCTCCTGTCTAGGCAATGAGCGGATTTATGCTTGCCGTGGAGACTCATGGATCCAGTAGGATTCTGGACTGCTCTGTGGGATCCAATGCCCTCCGGTGGACTCATTAGATGCGCTGATAGAGGACTGGAATTCCTGTGTCTCTGACGCCATCGATGAGATTGCTCCCTGACGCCCTGTCTGCTCCCGTGCTAAATTGTCCCCCTGGTATACAATGGAACTCAGGGGGGTGAAACGGGAACTGAGTCGGCTAGAGCGAGCGTGGCGGTGAACTCACAATGAAGAAGCAAGAACATCTTATGGGATGTTTATGAAGGCCTATGAGATGGCAGTGAAGGCTGCAAAGAAGGAGTTTTTCGCAGCCACAATCGCATCCACAAGCTCATACTCAGCACAATTATTTAGGGTGATCGGATCATTACCTTCTCTCACTGACAGGAATCAAAATGTTAAGAAATTGGCTCTTAGCTCTGAAGCTTTTGTGAGCTTTTTTGCAGAAAAAGTCTTGTCTATCCGCCGCGACCTCACAACCACCATTGAAACAATAACTGAACTGGAGGCCCCATGGCCGTCTTTGGATTCAGTTTTGGAAACCTTCAACCGGCTTTCTGAAGCTGACGTTGACAGGATTCTGGGTGCTATCAGGCCAACCACATGCCTCCTAGACCCCTGTCCTTCGTGGCTGGTGATGGCTGGCGGCAAAGGTATACAGGGTCCCCAGGTGGACATTATTAATCTGTCCCTCGATTCAGGAGTCTACCCAGAGGGATTGAAGGAGGCTGTGGTTGTTCCACTCTTGAAAAAGCCAACCTTGGATCCTACTGACCCAGCCAATTACCACCCAATCTTGAACCTCTCGTTTCTGGGCAAGGTAATTGACAGAGTGGTTGCCAAGCAGCTCCAGAGTCTCCTGGATGAAACATCAGCAATGGACCCATTCTAATCTGGTTTCCATCCCATGGCGTTAGTCACCCTCACGGATGACCTCCGTAGGCAGCTGGATCGTGACGGGTCAGCGCTGCTGATACGGTTAGATCTCACAGCAGCATTTAACGTGGTCAATCATGATCTCTTGATCCACCGCCTCACCGATGCAGGAGTTCGCAGGACAGTCTTGAAGTGGCTGATCTCGTTTCTCCATGATCGGGGACAGAGGGTGGCGATAGGAGGAAAGATGTGAACTAGACACCCACTAATATGTGGGGTGCCTCAGGGGGTGATTCTCTCCCCAATGTTGTTTAATATCTATATGCACCCCCTTGCCCAGCTGGCTCAGAGTTTCGGGCTCAGGTGTCACCGATATGCTGATGATGACACCCAGCTATACCTGTTGATGGGCGGCCGCCCAGACTCTGCCCCCAAAAATCTAGCTGAGGGGCTGGAGGCCGTGGGGGGGGGGGGCTGAAGCAAAGCCGGTTGAAGCTGAATCCTGCTAAGATGGAGCCAACTCCAAGCCCTTGATGGGGTGCCTTTGACACCGACACCTACCGTCAGGGGCCTGGGGGTGATCTTGGACCCCACTCTGTCTATGGAGGCCCAGATCGCCAATGTTGTCCGGTGGCCATTTTTCCAACTGTGCCAAGTTAGGCAGTTGGCCCCCTACCTGCCTCACCCCGACCTTGCCACAGCAATTCATGCAATGGTCACCTCCAGGTTGGATTACTGTAACTGGAAGCTCCAACTGGTACAAACTGCAGCTGCGTGGGTCCTTACGGGGACTCCATGGAGAGCACATATCCATCCAGTGTTGCACAAACTGCACTGGCTGCCAGTGCAGCACCCGATCAAATCCAAGGTTTTGGTGCTCACCTTTAAAGCCCTTAATGGTCAGAGACCTACATACCTTCAGTACCGCCTCACCTGATATGTCCCCCGAAGGGCATTGAGATAAGCAGATAAGAATCTCCTGGTGGTTCCCGGCCCCAAAGACATCCGGCTGGCCTCGACCAGGGCCAGGGCTTTCTCAGCCTTGGCCCCGGCCTGGTGGAACTCTCTGTTGAATAACATCCATGCCCTGTCCGATCTATTAAAGTTCTGCAGGGCATGCAAGTCAGAGGTGTTCCGCCAGGCCTTTGGTTGAGGCCAGTGACAGTTCCCTTGCATCTGCCTGGCACCCTCCCCTCCCCATGAAAATCTGAATGCTAGATATGCCATCTTGTTTAAAGTGTTTAAATGTTTATGCTGAATGTTTTAATATCGAATTCTTGTAGTTTTAATTGGTTTTAAAACTGTATTGAACTATGTCGTCGTAAACCGCCCTGAGCACCACGTAAGCGGGGAAGGATGGTCAAGAAATCTAATGAAATAAATACTAAATAAATAAGATGATAAATCCCCGGTTTCTCAGTTTTGATGAGATGTTCAACAAGACAATGAGATTTCCAGCTTCAGGAAAAAGTCATTGCTCAAGAAAGCTAACAGGACTTGGGTGAACAACAGGCACCTCGGATTACAGGAAAACAGCAAAGATTTCTCAAGAGATGTACAACATGCCATTAGCGTACCTTGAATTTCTTTCTTTTCTCTACCTCCTCTTTTAAAAAGGCTTCATAGTTCGCAATTTCAGCTTCCACACATTTCAGCAGTGCCAGCAGCTCCTGCCAGAGTCAAACAGGCACAGTATGAGCCCTCCCAATCCCTGGTACCAAACCTTCCAAGTCAGGAAAGAAAGACAGTATGAGCCAGAATCATCACAAGACAGAATCTCACGAAACATTCTAGCTTCAGAACTGTGACAGGAAACCCTGAAACTTTAATAACGCTCAACAGCGCCATGTAGAGCATCTGGGATCTTAGTTTGGACAGGACCACCATTTTGTCATGGGAGTTCAGAGTCATTAACAGCTACATGGTGGGAGGGACTATCATGGTAACTTTCTGATTGGTAATATTAGTCTCTGTCATCAGAGATGGGTTTTGCATTGGATTGGCTAGATCAACTAGTCACTCTTAAAGAGGAGGCTGGCTGAGGTCAGATTCCATTGTCCATAAATATTTGGGGGGGTTTGCTGGATTTTCTCTTGTCCCAGTGGGATTTCAACTGTATTGAAATCTGATGACCACAGGACGGTGGGTGAGGGTTAAAGACTCCGCCATCTTGTTACTGTAAGGAACTCTGCACATGATCTGAGGAATCTCCTACAGCCTAGATGTGTAGCTAGCAAGTCAGACAAACAGTTGTTTCTGAAAGTCTGTGTGCTATGTTTTTGTGTCCTTTCCCAGTATTTTGTTTTGTCCCCATTTTCCAGCCCACCACCTATTTTTTTGAGCCCAACTACCTTTTCCCCTCTTTTCTGGCTTCATGTTAGTAAAGTGTGTTTCTCTGGGATATTTCTCTTAATCTCTTCCCTAAGTGCCAAACTGCACACATGCTACGTAGTTTTCTATGAGGCATTCTCCAGGTTTTACACCCTGTTAACGCTTTACTAGTCTAGCACTGCACTAAAAGGAACCCTTCTTAGCAGGTCAGTCGAGAGGTTCCCAGGAAGTGGTGGCAGCTGCTGCCAAGTTCTTTCCATGGAACCCCTGGTCTAAGAGAGTTTCCCAAAAAAGGAAAGGCCCCTCTCCTCTCTTCCTTCTGTGAAAAGCACCACCCCAGATCATCTTGTAACAAACCAAGGGCAAAAATACAGCCTCACACTATAGTATCAGGAGAGTCTGCCAGGGAGAAAAGCAGTTCTACCAAATTGGAGCAAAGAAGATGGAAGTACTCTCACCAGGATGGGAAGGACATAGAAGATACATTTTACTAAGTCCACCTATACATGGCTACCTAGTTGTGAAGAAGAGCAGCATACAGAACCTGACTTTTAAAACTCTTTTTGAAATGAAACACTCCTAAATACCTTCAAATAAAAATTGTTAGTACAGTACAAGCTTGGCTGTCCAGCACTTGATTATTCAGAATGATAAGTTAACTGCAATCACCCAGAAGGAAAGCTTTTCACCCCCAACTTCTATACCATTTCAGGCGCATACACACACTCCCCATCCCAGTTTGGTGTAGTGGTTAAGAGCATGGACTCTAGCTTCCGGTTTATGGCGACGCGCAGGCAGACGCATCTCCTGGACCTCCAGGGATGCAATCTGCACACCAGCATGTAGGAGGGGGCGCGACGGGTCGCGACCCCCCCCCCGGGCCTTGGTGAAAGGCTCCTAGCCAGGGGGCTTTTGAGGAGCGACCTCTTCGCCGGCGCAATGCCAGAGAATTGAGGCACTCCTCCACCCCGATGGTCCTGCCGCTGAGTGTCCGCATGGACTTAGTGCCGCTGACCAGGACAAGCATGGGAGATCGAGCGAAAGAAATGATTGCCAAGCGAGGGCGAATGGCTGACAACAAACAGTGAGTCGGGTGGAAGCGAGCATGAAAAGTTAAAAAGAAAGCTACCCCCCTTATGAAGCGGTAAAAAGCGAGCAGGGGAGGGGCCACTCCCAAGCGCACAAACGAAATACAGAATAAAGAGGGGGGGAGCGGAAGAGCAAGCATTTAAATCTGTTTTAAGAGACTTACCAGAGCGCAGCTAAGCGTAAGGGCGAATTTCAGAGACTTTGGCAACTTTTAAAGGAAGTAAACAATCCAAAAAGATGGCGGGGAAGAAACCAGATAAAGACAAGCTTGTGAAAGCAAAACTAGTGGGCAGTCCTCGAACGGAAGAGACCACTGAGCTTTCCAAAATGCTGGCAGATTCCTTGCGCCCTCTGCTGGACGAGATGACTAATATCAAGAAACAATTGTCAACAATAGGTCAGAGTTTGGCCTCACAGCAGCTACAATTGACTAAATCCTTAAAAGCAACGGATCAAATGGGTGAGAAGGTGAAGGAAATGGATGCTGATACTAAAAAAGTTAAGAAAAAGGTGCAAAAGCTGGAAATGAAACAGGCAACGGGAGAAACACAACTTTTACAGTTACAAATGGAAAAAGCAAATCTGGTCCTACGGTTTCAAGGGGTCCCGGAATCAAGAGGAGAGAATCTGAAGCAACTGCTGAGTGAAGCAATAGCCCCAATGACAGATTGGAAAGCGGAATATCTTCATAGCGAGATGGATGTGGTCTACAGGTCCTATTCCTCATATATTAAGGAGAATAATTTTTTTTTACATTCGACTTTATATCCCGCCCAAACCCCCTTGTCTAGGGGGTCTCTGAGCGGCTTACAGGTCGGTGCTAGTCACCATTTTTATTCCTAACTAGGGCCACACACATTTTGGGGTTGCCGTCGCATCGCCACGCCATCCTCTGGAGCCGATGTCTCGCCGCTGCCGCCGTCACCGTCGTCCTCAACCACCACGCTAGGCAGGGTGCCCCCCACCCCACTACGGGTGGGTACCCATTTATCTACTTGCAATTAAGTTGCTTTCGAACTGCTGGGTGGGCAGGAGCTGGGACGAGGGTCGAGAGCTCACCTCGACCACGGTGGTACTCGAACAGCCATAGTGGCTGCTCGAATGATGTTACTGAGCAGGCATTAACTGCCAGGGGAAATAAATAGTAAGATTCTCGAAGAGACATGTGAGAGACACTATCTTGAAAGTAACTACGGGAACACCCTTGAAAATCAGGGACAAAAACATCAGGATTTTAAAAGACATTCCATCTGATATAAGACAGAAGAGAAAGAAATATAAAGAATTAATCCTTTTTCTACAAACAAATAGTATCGGATATAGATGGTTAATTCCAGAAGACGTCATTTTCAAACTCCACAATAATAAAGAAAAGATTGACTCTGTTCTTAAAGCACGGGAGTTTTTGAGAGCACAGCTGGGAGAACCAGCTGAGGACAAGGAAGAAGAAAGCAAATCTGATGGCGAATTGGACTCGGTGTCTTCTGACAAGGACTCTCCCTCCGAAAAGGGGGCGGTTGCCCCCAAAACTTCATATAAATTGAGGATTAGAAAAGATAAAACAAAATAAAAGCTGAAGGACTCTGAATTGTGCCTGAAAATTTTATAAAAATTGTGGGATGGTCTTGGGGTTTCATTAAACAGATATAATGATGAAAAAGTTATATAACCTAGCATAACTGACCATGTTCAATGTATTATCAGCATGTTAAATTAACACTAATATAAGCGGTTGTATTGATCTCTTATCCTTGGGTTTTTAGTTATTAGTGGGTATCTTTTCTTTTTCCTTAGAGGTAGTTCCCCTTTCCCTTTTTTCAATTATAGTTTGTAGTGTTGAAAAAAACAAATAAAAAACTCCCCCTAGGGGGATTATTAAAAAAAAAAAAAAGCACAGACTCTAATCTGGGAGAACCGGGTTTGATTCCCCACTCCTCTACATGCAGCTGCTGGTGTGACACTGGGTTAGTCAAAAGTTCTTTCAGAGCAGTTCTTGAAAGAACTCTCTCAGCCCCACCTACCTCACAGGGTATCTGTTGTGGGGAGAGAAAGCAAAAGTTATTGTAAGCCACTATGAGACTCCTTCAGGAGTGAAGGGTGGGGTATAAATCCAATCTCCTCCTCAGACGTTACAGATTTTGCTTCTTTAAATTCCGACATTGCCTATTCCCCCATTGTGCAGAATATGTATGATCATCTAAGATTACAGTGTATTCAGATTCCATTAGACGCACACCAGCCTGTATATAAAATATTGTTTCCAATTTGTTTTGACCCTCACCCCAAATTATAGGACCTGCATGGGTTAGGCAGCCCTCACTGTTGAAAAGAGAACCTGCAGTTACAGGTACCAACTTCAATTACTTCTGGCACAGCACACAAGTGCTGAATCAAAAATACTTGAAACTCCATCTGACAATTGTCTTTAGCAGCTGTAACATAAAATCCAAAATGCTAATGAGCACGACACTGTATACACAATTATAAACTACACATATATATCAAAGACAGAAAATGTAAAACTTAAGTGATCTATATTTAAAAATAAGAACATGTGTGTTGTGATGTATGATGCATATACATTCATTACAAAAGAATATATATTCATTACAAAATCATAAAACTGAGTGGCAAGTAATGACTTTCTACTGTATTAAGGATGATGCAGTGTTTTCGTGTTTAGGAGACTGCATCTTGTGGGAGTGAGTCAGAATATTCAGCCACTGAGCCAATTATAAATCAGAGACTGGAGACCTAGCAACGGAAATTCCTTCTTACTTTAATTCTGAACTCTTTTGATGAAGACATTTTGAAAAATGATACAAAACCAGATTCCTGACACATGTTGTTCACACGTTTTACAATCTGTACTGTTCTCCGTTATACTATAGCTTTGTAATGAACGTGTATTTATCACATTTTACAACATGTATTATGTTCTAATGTTTAAATATATATTGCTTACATCTTGCATTTTCTGTCTGATATCTATGTGGTTCTTTATAATAGTGTATGCACTTCATTAGCATTTTGGATTGTGAGTTATTACACACAGTGTTCCTTCTTCATTGTTATTTAGCAGCTATAATGCAGATTTTGTGGTGAAAGTACAGACAGCAAAACTTCATGGCTCTGGTAAAGAATAACTTTTCAAGAACGTAGTCATTTTACAGACTACAGCATCAGAAACAGAGCAAGTGGCTTACCCTGAAGATCAGTTGTCACCCTCTACCAGAGCATGACTGCTAGACAGAGTGGGAAGAGGAATAAATACTCACTTTCGGAGAATACTTTTCCCCACATGGAGGATCACTTGAACGGCTGTGTCCCGCTTTCTCCTTGCTCTCATTTGGTTCACTTGAGTCTCTCTCTTCTACTTTGACAATGGCCTGAACTTCTTCACTTGATTTGCTCAAAGGAGGGGAGTTTTTCCCACCATCTGATATCAGCAAAGACATCAAAAAGAAGAAATGTTAACCACATAAAGGGTATCCAAATTAACAGAAGTACTGAGTACTTCAGTAATGCTGCTCACACTTTTTGTGAACATATCTAACCCCCAAATGATGACATTCACATTCTCAGAACAGATTGTATAAATGTTCTTGTTCCCCAAACCCTCTAGCAGCATTTTATTTTTATAATACACTGATGCAATGATCTTTGACAACACAAGCTCTTCTAATACCACCATCTATTTCCACCCTAACCCTAGCAGCCACTGCAGCCAAAAAAATTTACTACAGTGAACATAATGTCAACATCAGTAGCAGTTAGCTGGAAAGGCAAAAAAAAAGTATCAGAAGCTATAACCTGCCAAATCCAGAGATTTCTCAAAAGGGCCACCAACATAAAGTCAAAAGGGGTGTAAAATAAAGTTTTAGATGTCACAGATCCACAAGGGCACAATGTGTCCACCTAAGCTATTCCTTGGAATCTACCCCACAGAGGGAAAAACATTTGACCTAGCCAAGTCGTCCAGAATTTAAGGACAGTCAATCAATAGAACTGATAGGATGGAAGAAGGGGTATAGTGCCAAAAAAAATTATGCAGAACATACTCTACGAGCCCTAGCAAGGGCTGACTGGCAAGCCAAAGCCTCCAATGCTCATATCAAGGGAAAGTCTGGCAGACTGAGGGCCAAGCTGCTTATCACGTAACAATGAAACAGGAACATGTAGTTAAGTCATTAAGGCATGTTTTTCTTATAGAGAGCGTGTACAGTTGTTTACAAACAAGGGTACATGAATACTGCTTTTCACAGGAGGGTTACTCCATAAAGTCACGTGGGGTTATGGCAGCTTTCTTTGTAGCTCTGCTATCTAGAGTAAGGGGCCATACCCTCAGTACCATGGGAAAGAATAGAGCATGTGTTCTGCCATTAACATTCTCCTCAGCATGCAGGAGTTTGTTTAGCTATCAGGTCTCTTCAAACCACTGGTTTACCCACTCTTAGTCTGAACAGTACAGGACATAGGGATTTAAACGGTGATGGAAAGTGCCGTCAAGTTGCAACCGACGTATGGCACTGCCGTCAGGTTTTCAAGGCAAGAGAGGTTCAGAGGTGGTTTGCCATTGCCTACCTATCCTGGACCTCCCTGTTGGCCTCCCATCGAAGGACCAGCCAGGGCTGACCCTGCTTAGCTTCTGAGATCTGGCTAGCCTGGGCCATCCAGGTCACAGCAGGGAGCTTTACAGCACCTATTGAACAAGTAATTTGTCTGAAGACAGCTGAAGTTGCAGATCAGTACTTAGCACAGGCTTTATATAAGAAGTCAATTCAGCATCTAAATGGGAACTGCCTGCCATCCTCTCAATGTTCATTGTGCAGTCTAGACTACAAGCCTCTGATAGTTCACACTGTACAAGGCCTTTCCTATGAACTTTACCTGTGGTTGTAAGTGGGCAGACCCTGTACAACTTTACCTGTGGTTGTAAGTGGGCAGAACACCCCATCTTCCGTGAGGTGTAGCAAGCCTGTGCTGATCATAGGACCCAACTCCCTCACAGCCCGGTTGTAGCGTATGCAGTCCACACGCAGCAAGCTGTCCTCCTCCCCAAATAGCACCTTTGAAATGTGGGAGGTGACAGGGCTGGAGGGGCGAGTGGGATTGGCTGACCGGATGGGGGAACGGAGTGGGGAATTGAAGGCACTCCCAATCTCAGAGGCAGTGTCCGTGCTCTCGTTGCTTGGTGTAGGGGATGGCTGGGAATGGGCAACAGCAGCAACTGCAGTGCCTCCACTGCTGGTCTTGATAGACAGAGGAATGGAGAGGTCTTTTTGTGTCTCCTTGAGCTTCTCGGTCAGCACATTAATGGTGTTGGGCTGCAGCATGGAGAGCTGGCCATCTGTCCTCCCAGCCAGGTTGTCTGGCTTCATCTGTCCCTTCCTCTTGAATCTGTCCAAAACCAACCAGAAATAAGAAGATAGAAGAACAATACCGTAACAAAACACCCATGATATAACACACCCACCCAAACACAGTATGCGTAATCTAGAAGCATAAAATAGCTGCATTGCACAGGACTAGATCCTACTGATCTGTTCCACTAATGACAGAGATTTCTGTCACACAGAAAAGATCTTATGTAATTCTATTTGTAGGATTATATCTTATTCAGGAATAGGCCATGGAGTGTGGATCAAAAACGCCACCCAGTGGAGCCAAGGGCCAACAGGGAAGGGAGTAAAAGCCCGGGGGAAGCTCCAGGTTTACATATAAGCATGAAATGTAAGGGGAAAAAATGGGGCTTAGAAAATAAAAAATAGAAGCAATTACTGTTTCTTTTTAAAAGACTGTTGCCACTGAGCTCCACGTTATGAGATCTCATGGGCTGGAGGGGGCAGCGAACTTGCTAAGCCAGCCATCACCAATAATGCCAAGGATTATGAGCCGCAGTGTCAGGGGAGTGGAAAGAGACAGGCTAGAAAAAGTAGAAGATTAGGAAAAATAGAAGATCGAGCTGGAGAAGGGGGAGCAAAAAAGGGAAAGCTGAAGACAGGGGAGGGGGAAAATAGGTGGGTGAGTCGAGGGGCAGAGGCTGCAAAGGGGAAAAACAAAAAAATAGGTAGGCGGCTGCAAGAGAAGGAAAGGTGAGAGGCTGCAGGCAGTGCCATGGAGAAGCAAAGAGGGAAAGCAAGAGAGGGAAAGTTGAGGAAAAGAGAAAGGGGAGAGATTCCCCTACCCTGTGAGCCCTCACTGGTCGTCCCCCCCCCCTTTATACACATAATGTTGTTTACACTAATAAGCAGCCTTTCCCTCTTCAAATTATTTCTGTTTCTGACCATTCATCCTGACAGGTCAGAGATGGAGCTGACAAAGTAACCTAATAAAATCCTTATTCTCCATGTTCAGGACATCATAAGGACTCCATCAGCTACAAAGAAACAAGGCTGGAGGGAGCAACCATTGGCCTCGCTATTTACCTCATGGCAGGATTGGCACTGCAAACCTCCTCTTCATCGTCATCATCATCCTCATCCTCGTCATCAGAATATTGCTGGTGCTGCCGTACAGGAACCCGGCTACGGCCCACTCCTGCTGCAAGGTCCTCCTCTTCCTGCAACAAAAGACACAGCACTACCTGAAGAACATGTCCTAGAAATTATACCCCAGGGAAACCAGTCTTTCAAGAACCACTGCTGCATAAAGAAGTTTGTCTGAGGTGGGGGATGAGCCCCTGTACTGTATCAGGATTTCAGTATTCCAGATTAAGTTTGTGAACACAAAGGCAAGCTAAAAAAGGGGGTGAGTTGAGATAGTCCCCCTTTCTTCAGTCTCATGAAAGATGCATTCTAGGGACGTACTGACAAAATATGCTTTGGGGCATTTTCAGGTTCACTGTAACAGCCAAAAGTGAAATTGTTCATATTTTAAGAAAAAAAGATTCACACACACGCCTCATAAATTTTGCTAGTTATCAAACCCCTTTACGATAAATCGGCATGGCCATTACAACTCTTTTTACTGAAGTTACAAAAAATACATTGCAATATACAAACTGTCACCAGACGAGCATTCTTACTAGAGCTTTTGCAGAGGCAGATACATTTTCAAGGTTTTTGCTTCCTATGGGGATCGCCCAGGAAGTTTGTCAGATGAAGAGGCAAACTTCACACAGCATTCATGAAACTTTAAGAAGCAGAATACAAGTGAGAAGGCTACATTGTAATTCAGACCATCCTGAGACTAATGAAAGGTTCAGATAAACACTGAAGACAATCCTAAAAAAGGATAACAATGATCAGCTTACTTACTAAAGGTTTTTTATCACCTGGAGGAAAGACAAAAACATCCAGTAAATGCCTGCCAGCCAAGAAAAGACTTGAATGAGTCACCAAAACTCAGTGTGGCTCCCCTACATCAAATGCGTCCCTCCACTCAGCCTTATCAACATTCTTTGTTTTCTATTCCAGTTTTTGCCTTCAAACCAAATATTCCCCCATGCCTTTTTGACATGCCTGAAAAGCAGCCTAGAAACACTTCAGATAAATATTAATACTTTCCAAGTATTAATATTTCCAAGATTTATTCTATTCCTAGAAAATGGAATTTTCCACTGTAGAATTTTAAACTACATGTGAAGCAGTACCCCAAGAGCAGCTATTCATGTATTCCCAGCCAACTAAGAAGCCACTGTTCCCTCTGGAAGTGCCAAAGCAACTAGTTAGACCCAGGGAAGCACAGTTCAGGAAGGTTTTACTATGCCAGGGGGAACAGAGCATCTAGACACAACACACTATTTACCTGCATGGGTGACTTGGCATAGTTGTGATTATCCAGGAAAGCTGGCAGCCTCTGTACAATGGGACTGGGGTTTGCCAGGGCCCCATTTATACTGCTCACAGATGGTTTATTGCTCAGCTTGGATTTGCTTGGCAGGTTCTGGGTTGAGGCAGGCTGATCTTGGCCCGTAGTATCCTCAGCACTCTCTGCAAAGTACATGTATAAACCTTTTATGTTCAAGAGGAAACACCTCCTACTCTTGTGGGTTTTACTTCTCCAGCAGGACGTGGTTCCAGTCTCCTTCCAAAGGCAAGGATATATTTACTTTAGATAAAGACGCTTATGATTTACAGTCCTCCTTGCGTTACGTCATAGACTGGAACATTTCACCAGTAAGATTTAGCACAGTAAAGACAAGCCTTTAACCACTTCCACTACATCCGTCTGTTCCTGCTTTTCATACATTTTGAGTAGAGCTCTTTATTCACAGTACTCCACAGCATTTAAGGATACATCCCTAGAATGAATCCCATACCTGCCTGTGAGCTCTCAGGGGCCAGTTGCACTCTCCCTAGTTCCAGCGCAGTTTGGGTCTTGTTGTTACCTGGCTTGGACTCCTCAGAAGCCTGGGACTCCTGGGACTTCTGGGTATGAACGAGCTCTGGTTGAGTCACTCGGATTAGCTTACATGAAAAAGACAAAGAAGGAGCCAAGCCGTTCACAAAATTAAAAAAACAACAAAGATGAAGAAAACAATGAGATTTCCTATAGCTAAGGAAGTTTCCATTAACAAGCTTCCCTACAAGTGGAAAAAGACTTTTTTAGAGAATGCTTGCAGGTCACCTGCTACGTTTGTGTAGCACATCAGCCATATTTCTTCCAACTGTTATTACATTAAGACTTTTGGGCATGCAGCTGTTCCAAATGTGCCCCCATTCTGAAACAACTGAAAACCTACATATTCCCTCAAGATGTATTTGTCCAGTTGTGACATTCAACAACTGGTTGTTTTGCTTTTGAGAGCCCCCCAACATGTCCTGTCTGGGAAATAAGATCATAAGCCAGCTAGTAGCTTTTCTTGTGAGCTCCCTTTAACAGAAGCCCCATTCCTCAAAAGTATTTCTGCCACTCTATGTCTCCCAGGTTTTCACTGTTCTTTCTTAAGTGGTCGGCACCATTAGGCTCCCACTCCCACTCTGCCCTTTACCTGCTGCAAAGCCTCTAATACAGTCTGCCTGTTCATCTTCAAGATCTGCAGCTTGGATTCATATTTCACCCTCCTGTCAGGCACCACTGCCATCAAGTTGAAACGGATGTCATGATATGGTTCCCTGCATAAAGACCACACCTGCTGTTAAACATTCCAGTCCTAAATACTTTTGCCACCAATGTCATTCCAACAAAGCACAGTGTCACAGTTTCTGGCACTGGATAGGACTGATGAACTTGTTGGTATGTGTGGATAGTTTTACAGGAGCAGCAAGTCTTAGCACCAGGCTTTAACCTCATCATGCACCTTCTGCAAAGAGGTGGGTACTATTATTGTACCAAAGCCATGTCTACAGAACATGAGCTTCCGAGAAAAAAGTTCTGTCTCTTCTTAAGTACGCCTCTAAAGTTGTCACCCAAACCAAGCCAATGCTCACTTCAGACTGATTTAGGCATTTACCCTGCTGTAGCGAGTCCAATCCTCTCCATGATAACCCTCCTGGCTTTGTCTGTCCATTCCTCATCTTCTGCCCAGGGCCCTAAAAAGCAAGAAGAGGCAATAACAGATATGTACGGATAAATGCTCCGGCATTCAATTACTACCAGGGCTTGAACTGTGCACAGGGTTTTCCTCCTGTGCAAAAGTAATGAGGAGCGTAAATGCAGAAAAATATTACAAGGATCAGCCAAATAATGAGAATAGTCTGAGTTGTCCACATGGACAAAAGGAGGATTCTAAAACATGTATGCTACCCGCAAAGTCAACTCCTATAAGAAACAAACTCCTTTTCTCCAAAACATTTCCTCACAATGTTTGTCTCATCCCAATTCAGACAACCAGAAAGGGTTAACCAAAGCAAACAAAAACAGAGAATCTAGAAACATAAATTACAACCAAAGACAAGCATCTCACAGTAACCCCAGTCTTCCCTAACAGAAGTGAAAAGCACAAAGTACTCCTTCCCAACTTCTCATACAGTGAAAGCTGTCGCACATAATATATCCAGCACTCTTCAACTGCTACATCATACTTTTATTAACCTCCAGGCAGAAGGCTGACTTTAGCTACCAAAAGAGAGGCAGACAAAAGTGAAGGCAGGCTAGTTCTCCACCTGTTAGCTCTTCCACCAGGCTTTCGATTAGGGTGCCGCCTTCTAATACAATGGGCGTGGCCCCAACTCAACGACCAATAACCTGGCAGGAACCTGGACTGTGGTGGTATGTGACCTTCTAATGTCGACGGAATGCCGCCATCTTGTATTAATATCTAGGCTCTTAGCAGTGATGATCTTATATATTGTGATTTTAACTTATTTGGGGTTTTAATATACTTTGGTGTTTTAACATATACATATATATATTCTGTAAGCCGCCCTGAGCCTGCCACGGCGGGGAGGGCAGGATACAAATTTAAGAAATAATTTTTTTTAAAAAAAATAGCACCAACCGAAGCCTAGACACAGGACAGAATATCCAGTTGAATTAAAGGGTGGATTTCCAAGGGGTGTTTTTTAAGATAGCACGTAAGACACGTTTTGCTATTACTAAACTGATACTAGTTATTCAGCAGTTAAAAGAAAGAAGTAATCATGTTAACCTACAAAGGAACTGTTGATTATTTCAAGAAAGCAGTACGGTGTAGCAGCAAGAATACTGGAATATCACTAGGCAGCCCAGGTTCAAATCTCTTCTCATACCTTGAAGGCTACTGGTTGACTTAAGGCAAGTCACTGTTTCTTACCCAGATCTATCCACAGGGTTGTTGTGAAATAAAATGTGAGAAAAGAAGCAAATATATACCTCCCAGATATACTTAGAAAGAAGTTGGAACAAAAATGACAGATGTCTAGAATCAGCATTTTTTTTAAAAGGATGAGTAAACTGCAACTACCTGAGCAAACTTAGAATACTAACAGGAAATGTAAAACAGGATCCTAGTAAATCAGACTGATAAGGAACACCAGATCTCTAAAGCATTCTGTATGTTGCTAAGAGCTTCCGAAATGATAAATACAGTGATTCCTCTATACAATAATGGAAATGACAGACCATCAGAAACCTGGTGTGTCAACATTTCCCAGGCTGCAGTTGAGCAAACACCCAAGTTAAGAGGTCCCTTACCATGGTCAATGGGATAAACCTTCAGGCCATCCAGTTCAAAGAGCCGTCCCTTGATGGGAACATAGCTGACAAAGTGAAACGCCTCCATAGTCCGTACAGCACTGATCCCATTCTGCTTTTCTGGCAAATGTCGCGGCTCTGGCCTGCCAAGACAGCAAACATCCATGTAGTCAAAGAAGATGGGCTGACTTCATTTGGTAGACAATGGTGCCCTACCATCCCACTTACCTAGCATGACTGTTATGGGCTTTGGCCAATTCTGGTGCATTTCCAATTGCATAACCTTTGCTCTGGAAAAATAAGAGCAAAAAGGTAGACCAGATTCTTTCAAACTCATACATAGTTGTTGTTGTTTAAGCCCCTCCCCATCACCCTAACGGAAATCCTCTATACAGTTGCCCAAAATAATTTCCTTTCTTGTATAGAAGGTGGGGGGGAACTCAGCAGAATTCGTAACAGGACACCTGGGGCACTAATACTGTCAGACAGCAGTATGCTTACTGGAAAACATGCACAAAGTTTATGTTCAGAGTTTATGGCAATAGTTTCACTAGCAAACCGTTTTCTCCAAATAACCAAATTAGTAATCTACAATTAATCTACAATACAGTAAGGAGCCTAGTGGACCAAACCGCTGAACCACCCCATCCCCAGCCACAAAGAATGAAAACACTTAAAAGGCTCAGCACAGCATTTCCAGCTCCTGTTCATCTAATGTCTCCCTGGTCTATGGTGATACTGATGAATTGGTATTCATACATCAGAAAAGGTTCTTTAAACTGCCAAAGGAAAAGCTCCCCTCCCCAAAGAAATAAAGGAATAGGTCAAGTTATAGAGAAAGGGAATGCTACCAAGACATAAAATTTTACAAAAGGACCTTAGGAGATCAACAGCCCACAATGATCTTGGTATGCCCTCATCTGCACACTGCCACACCATACCTCTGGACTAAACCCTTTAGTGAACTCCTTCATTCGGCTCAGGGTTGGCCCCAGATCCACATTGCTGCAGTTCAGGAGGACACTCAACAAGGCATGTGTGGCACAAGAATTGGGAATCAGCTTATACAAAATGAGACAAGAGAACATTTATGTTCAGCATGAAAAAGCAATCTTGGAGTAGCCGGGCTGGCCACAGTTGCCCCTACAGCAATGATTTCAGATCAATTATTGAAGCAATCAGTGCCTTCAGCAAAACCTCTATTCCTACTACACAGTAATAGATAAGAGCAGCAATCACAGAGACTGAAAGAATCAAAATGCCATGAAGTTCTACCCCTGCTACGAGGCCCACCCAACTATTCTCCCAGCAGTCCTACAGAGATCAACCTAGTCAGGTGGGACCGCAATAATTTATTTACAGAAGTTATCCGTAACCCATGCTCTTAACTACAAAGTTCCAAAGGTGGTTCCACCATGCTATTTACTATGGCAGCCCTCCTCTTCAACAACAAAATCCCTTAAACCGAAGCACCAAGCAGCTAATGCAGGACAAACTCGACAACCACAGCTCTCTTTACATTCAAACCTACCCCTGAATGTGAAGATGGAAGAAAAAACAGGAAGGTAAAATTAGAGCATATCCTCGTGCTCAAAAAAGTATATTGGCTTAAAAGTTTCTATTCCACCTTATCCTGAGTGCTATGCACCTTACGAAGTCATAATTTAGCAATTCCACTCCCCAGCAGTAATAAAATACAAGCAGAATATTCCTTATAAAAATGGACTGTCTTGCAGAAAACGGCCAATGAATGTGCCCTCTGAGCTTTCTGCAGCGGTCTGTTCCATAAAATTGAAGCCATAACAAAAAGAGTAAAAGATTTTGCCCAAGACGTTTGCACCCGACATTGCTTAAAAAAACCTAATTTTCAGAACCTAATCTGGCCTCTGAGTTCATTGATATTAAACCATAAGAAAGCTGGATCATCTACAGAGCTGAAAAACAGACGTGGAAGCAGCTGCCCGCTTTGTACAGGTTAAGTGGGGGAGCTGACATCAAAGCAAGAGATGGTAAAGACATAAGCTATGGCAGGAAATGAAAATGGATGAGGAATCCATAGTTATTGCAAGGACAGTAAGTAATAATGGGATGGGGGTAAGAATTGCCCTGACTCCAGTTATGAGGATGCTGTACTCTGGGGCTCTCATTTCTAATAAGCACTAGAGTTTAACTGACTGAAGGCATGTCCCCTGGTCTGGAAGGCCTTATTCCTTATATCAGTTGTGTTGAGAACAGCTAATTCAGCAAGAAGAGAGGCATTCTGTGAATACTCAAAAGCAAAACTTTCTCATCAGTATTACGCATATTGTGGAACTGATCCTAGAAATTTGTCCTCAGTGCAAGACATGAAATTGGCTCACAATAAGCTCTGGCTCTCTCTTACTTAGAAGAGTGGAAGAGAACTTTTTTTCACTCATATCAGCTTACCTGGTGAGCAAAGAACATGTTATTCACAATGTCATCATCAATTACAGATGTCTCATCTACCAGTGTAGAGACCTTCCGTCGGGACCTGCGCTCCTCGATCCATTTGAAGAGGAAGATGAACCCATAAACTGGCCTGAAGAACAGAATGGAAACAGCAGGGTAACAAAACCAAGCAGTTCATATTACAAACAACTAAGGCAATTTCATTCATCAGCACCCATCTCTGTACACCCAAATGCTGACAATCAGTGCAAATATCTATTATCTGAAATTTCATACGGAGATATTACTCCTCATGTTATCAGTGCCCTTATCCCATTATGTCTCTGAACTATTATTGTTTTTGTACTACTAAATATGACAGCATGGCAAATTGGTGCATGGTACCTCATTCGCCCTGTAGCACCTCAGTATAAAAACTATTGTGATCTGAATGCAATAAGGGATAATAGGACTTTGATATTATACATCTTTATTCGTGGGCTTCACTCCCACTCCACCTACAAGTTTGCCTCAATGCTTGAGCTGCCCCTGTGGCCTCAGACAGAGAGGGAAGAGGGTTTTGGCTCATCCATTTCTTCCTCTCTCCAGCTCCCTTCTTGTGCAGCCTTGAGTAGGACACTGACAAACCCTCCCTGGACCTTTTCCATTTTCCTTCTAAAGACCATGCTGCAATCAGTGCATGCCCCACTGTGGCTTCATGACTCTTGAGGAGTTGACATGCCTGCTGGCACAGCTGGGCCCTGCCTTTGACATGCCTGCTGGCACAGCTGGGCCCTGCCTTTTGACCGTGGCTTTTGAAGGAGCCACATGTGGTGGAAGTTGCCCAAATAGGCATAAGCTCCTTCCCCCCACCCAGGAGTCTATGGCTGAAGTCAGGGTCTGCCCCCAGTCCCCCTTTACTATGAATGTCTAATAAGTTAACACGACACTGTTAACCTTTTGTTGTTAACAGTGTTGCCACGATTCTGTTCAGTGGCCTTATGGCTAGCTTTGAACATTCAATTCAGCTCCAGTCCAGCCCATGAAAAAGATTCACAAAAGACCTGGCAACAACTTCCACATTAAAAAACTAACAATTCTGAATGGAAACCAATCTGAATTCAACCTGATTCTTTACAAACATCAGGGCCAGTCATACACCGCAGAAAGTTCTTTTAGCTTTCCCTAACCAACATCAGTGTTAGTTACTTACCCTTGGCATTTGCTCTGTAGATCATAGATCTCTTCAACTTGCACCCCTTTAACACCTACCAAAAATATACAGTAAAAGTGAGCGTATAGAAAGTCATGTAAAAATGGCCAGACGGATTCTAGATTACTTACCAAAATCCTCTACTAGAAGAGTGAAGAGCCCTGCAAAGGAACAAGAAAGTAATACTTATTGAGCAGTACACATATTCTGAAGAATACATTAAAGATCCCAAATTCTGCAAGCAGAAACAGGGGATGCCTTTCATTCCAGCCTCCTTTGTGCCAAATGCACATGTATGTTCTTTCAACTCCAAGCGTGCAATATGTAGATGAACCAGTTCAACAATCACTGAACATGCCTTTACTTTAATTAATGACCATATGCTAGCTGCTGTTCTTTTTCCTCACTCTTACAGCAGTGTACTGCTACTGTGCTGTTGCTACTTTTAGCCATCAAGAACAGCAGCAGCAGCAGCAGCATGTACACATTTTGTTGCAGTAGGTGCTATAAGAATAGGATCAATCAACAAGGGGGAAAACAATCATATACCCTGCAACCTCAACCAGAGCCACCCAATGGCTCAGCTGACATTCAGCCTGGCTGAATGCTGATCACAGGATGAAGAGGGAAGAGGATGGATGGGTATAAGTGAGCTGGAAGAAGTTTCCAGGACCAAAGACAAACACATGCTCCAAACTTCAGGCATGCACATTTGTGTTTGGGAACAACATGCAGAGCAGTAAGACAATCAACAATGAACAAGAGTCCAGTAGCCCTTTAAAGACTAACAAAATATGCGGCAGGGTATATGAGCTTTTGTGAGTCACTGCTCACTTTTTCAGATACAGCTAGAGTGAGAGTCCATCAGTCATATTTATCGGAAAGTGGAATGATTTCAGATGCCAAATGACATTAGCAGGCAAATAACAATAGCAGTTAATAACAACAGTGGGCGTAATTGGATTTAGGTGAAATATGCAGATGGGTAATAGGTGTGGAGAAATCAGCATTGGTAATGAGACAGGAAACCTAGGTCTCAATTCAATCCAGGTGGATGCATTGTCTTGAGCTTCATTATCAATTGCAATTCAGCAGTCTCTCTTTCTAATCTCCCTTCGAAATTCTTTTGTAAGAGAACTGCTACTTTTAGATCAGCAACTGAACGTCCTGGAATTGCAATAATGCAATCACCCACAATAATGCAACGTCTAATTTGAACATGGACACTGGGACCAGAGCTTGCAATAAACCCAGATGCCAACTTTGCTGCCACATCCAACCATACAACACAATCATTGGACCTAACAACATCAACTACACCATCAGAGGCTCATTCACTTCCTCATCTTCTAACATGGTATATGTCATTAAATGCCAACAATGCCCTTCAGTTCTCTACATAGAACAAACAGGACAGTCTACACCAGAGGATAAATGGACACAAATCTGACATCAGGAATCACAAAAGCCCAAACAGGTCTTCCATAGATGCCTGGTTTGACAAACTTTGGGATATTTATATCATGAGGAAAACAGTAAACAATTATTTCCTTGTTGGCTCCCAGTTGTCTTTTTCACCCTGTGATTATGATGAAATCTGAAAGCCAGTTATTGGGTTTCTGAGATACAATGAATCACAAGACTGAGAAACCTGTAGGAGAACACTTCAACCTTCCAGGACATTCAATGAATGACCTCAAAGTAGCTGTTTTATTACAAAGGAACTTCAGGAACAGAAGGGAAACTGCTGAATTACAAGTTATTAGAACACTTGGAACAAAAACCTCCCCAGGACTCAACAGGGATATTGGTTTCTTCTCTCATTACATATGCTAACTCATTCAGTCCTCACATATGTATTCTCAATAAGAAGGACTATACATCCTGTGTATTTTAGTGTATTTCCTTTTCAGAATAGTATATTAGAATACTGAATGCAATGCAAGGAATATTGGAATGTTTTGCTGACAGAACACTGTGCCCACCTCAAAAAAGAAAGGAAAAAATGCTGTTACGTTATGCAAATAGGGCGGCAGTGGTGAACTAAGGGGGCATGAGGGATGGAAAAGGGACAACTGCCTTGTCTTTGAAAAAGTGTGCATGCACATGAAAGCTCATACCTTGAATAAACCTTTATTAGTCTTAAAGGTGCCACTGGACTCTACATTTGTTCTTCTAATAGATCACTATAACTTTCTTAAACCGTCATAGTACAAATCTCTTCGAGGTAAGGTAGATCGGGGTCCTCAACTTGGTGTCCATGGGTACCATGGCACCTCCTGACACTTCCTGGTGCACACCAAGTGTTTCTAGAATGTGGGTAAGGTTCTTGCCTAGCAAGGCTTCTGATGAGTCACTGGACATTTGATTGGGTGTGCAGGTTTTTTAAAAATGTTGCTTTGGTAGCAGCTGCCACCGCAGCATAAGGATCTTCACTTGTGTGACTTAAAGTAAGTTGTGGTAACCATTTTATGGCTGGCTCCACCCTCCCTCGCAGCTATTTTGTGGCTGTGCACCCCAAGTTTTATCAACAGTTCAAAGGTGCCCACAGGCTCAAAAGGTTGGAGACACCTGAGGAAGATGGCTGAAAAATACTAGCCATAGCAAAAGCAATGTGTTTTATTTCAAATCTAAACCACTTGGTTTTCAAGTTGGGTCAACTACATTTACTAATTTTAACCATTTCAAAGAGGAGAAATAAAAGTGAGTTGAATAAATTATTAGTATATTTATAATGATGTAAGCCAGCTTCAGCCAGGGGAAGGGAAGTATAAACATTTAAATAAATTAATGTTAGCATATTTGAAGCTTCTGACTGTACAGTTGCAGGACATGCTGAGAGAACTGGACTAATGGGAGCCCCCAATTCGTGTTTAGGCAATCCCTCTCTCTTTATCACTTACTAAAAAATTAAGCTTAATTTTTACTAAAATATTTGTGTATAGCAACACTGCAAAAACTAGTCTTTGAACAGTGTTCAAATTGTAATTTAAGCAAGTCACTTAAATATTGTTGTTTTTAAAAATGCTATAGTTACAGTAAAATAAGTGTTCTTGTAATGTTAAATTATTTGATTTAAAAATGAATCCAAGAAAATGGTATCCCCCCCAAAAAAAGACTACAGCAACTTAAACAGCAAACACATAGAAGTGGTAACAAAAAATATTTTAATCTGATCTACATAATAAAATATATTGAACTGACCCCAAATAAGACCAACTTGTTACTTATAGAATTGGTACAAGAGAATTTTTATTGCAATGATTGCTGCCTTTTCTCCAAGAACATTTATTTTTTAAATTATTCTGTTTCAGCCTTAAAAAGATAGATACCATATCACATAATACTGATCATTTATAGATCACTATAGATCACTGGGTTTCAACATTTTTTCAATGTTTCATTTTCTGCAGGAAGTATTCATTGCCGCAACAGTACTGATCTATCGTACCACAGCCTTTCACATTTCCAAATACACTGTACCCTTCTGGAGTTTTTTCCTACATCGCTTGTTGTATTTGTAGCCCTACTTTCTTTGTGTGATATAAAACATCCGGGCATCTCTCTCAGACAAGTTTTAAAAAGCAGATGGGAAGGGGTGATGGAGCAGGAACAGGACAAAAGACTGTCCTTCACAATGTCAACAAAAGGCTATGACCTGATAGGAGATGGACAGGTACACAGATCAGCTCCAGATACAACACCATTTTGGCACACAGCATCGCAAGCCTAACATGCTCAGTTGCACACTGGGAGAATGAAGGGAGTGTGGAGACTTAAGCTTCTTGACCAACTTTCCTAATCGACAGGCATACCTACCCTCCTTACCGACACTGTGTATGGAAGCCCCCCTCCCCCACGCAGGCGCGCGCATCAGTGACCGTTCTGCCCTCATCGCTAGCACCGTCCCCCCGTCCCGTCTATAGACCCTCTCCAAAGGGAAGGCGCCCACCACGTCCCCTCAGGTCCCCAACCCCCAGGATCTCAGCCTTGCCCCCATTCCCAGGTCAGGAACTCATTTACTCACCAGGGTCGCTCTCCAGCTCCAGCCAACCCTTATTCATTTTCCCCTGGGCCAGGCCTCAGCGCCATGACCGGCCCCAGGCAGTCTTCTCCGCCGCCCGTCCTCCCTCAACAGCCCACCATCCTACTACAACAACAGAACCCCTCAAGCTTTGCAACACCGCCTATTACGTATACGTCACATCGGTGCGACGGCCGTTGCATTGGCTGTCTGACAAACCTGACGCATGCGCAAAGAGTGAAAACAGATCGGGGTAACGGGATCCTGACAGGAGGATAGGTTGTGTCCTTTCCGCATAACTTGTCTAGCCACTTATCTATGGTAGAAAACTAGCACTCGTTCGTGGATTTGTGGGCGGGTCTTAAGGGTATTCTGTCATCCAATCCTGAGGCTTCTAGCTTTCCTTTTTGACATCTAAGTACCGATGGAATCAACAGCGTTGTCCTAAAGAGGTCTTCTTAGAAGCTTATTCGCAGAAAAATGTTTTTAGGAGGATTGCACTGTGAAGTTGCAGGCATGCAGGCTAGTGCACACTTAACTTGGGAGCAAGTCCCATTAAAGTAAGAGGGCTTTATTTCTTAGTAAACCTGAATTGGCTTGGCCTGCGCTTTAAGGCAGGGAAAGAAAAAAGGCTAGATATTATTTGGGGGTCACAGCTCTCTCCCTTCTATTTGCGGGTTGTAAACCCTAGTCAGGAATGTATAATAATAGCTAGACTATTTTGCATTCCTTTAAAGAAATAAATCTCATATCAATGTATGGATTGGGAATTTAACGTTTTGTATGTTTTAATCTTTTTAAAGTGTGTTGTCAAACAGTGACACTCAGCCATCCAGTACATAAACCAAAATATCCTAGATTAATAAAACATTTTTAAAGGGTGGTGGTGAGGATTGAACAAAAAATTAAAAGTCGTCCCGAGTTTGAATCTAAGCTATACAAAAATCAAAGCTGAATCTGCTCAATTTGCATTTATAGAAATATATCAGTTTAAATGAGCAATTGCAATTAATTTTTCTGAAATGTTTTTGCTAAGATGCCTGGTGATTTCATATCACCAGGGGACTATGAAGAGTATCCAAACAGGACATTATGGTGAAAGAGAAACAGAAGAGGTGCAATCAAAGATCTGAAGGGAAGTGTTAACTGGGACTGCACACATTAAAAGTACCTATCTGTGCAGGAACCAATGGTTGAAGGAGCCAAGTGTCCTGCCCAATAGTCCTTCAGTGGGTGACAATACAAAACAAGCACAGTGGTGATAATTCCATCCTGTTGATTCCTAACATCAGAAAGAAACTACATAATGACTCTTTTAAGAGCATGTCTGTACATGCTTGTGCTTGAGCAGATTTCCAGCACTGTAACAACAACAAAAGTGTCAAAACTAGGATTTATCACAGGGAAGAACACAATATGGCATTCCCTTCCATTATATGGATTGCACCATCCACACACAGTATGTGCATTGGGGCCATGTGAATTCTGGAAATCAGAAGTATTTAATTAGCGTACCTCAAAGTCAAGGAATATATTGTAGATATAAACCATTTCCCCACTTTCTCAAATCCATAGTTCAGTTATTTTCTCTGCATTGGGGTCCTTAAACCCAAGCTAAAATGTTACCTTTGCCTGCACTGAAATTAGAATTTTAAAATTTATTATAATTTATTTATTCAGCCCTGAACATTTGGCTCATCCCTATACTTCAACCCTATACTTCTTGGGGGGAAAAACTGGTGTTAACTCACTGATAATATTTTTTTTTCTGCTTCTCCTGAGAATGAGTAATTGAGGATTTTTTTCTAGAAAGGAAAATACACAGAGAATGGAAGAAAATATCAGGTTGAGCACATGATGGCAGCATCACCAAATACAGAAACTGGGCCAACTATCCACTGACTCCCTTAGTCCTTAAATGCTGCTGTATTTTAGCCTGCTTATGCTCCAAGGCTACTCATCCATATACTTGCAATGTAACAGGTTGAGCACATGATGGCAGCATCACCAAATTCAGAAACTGGGCCAACTATCCACTGACTTCCTTAGCCCTTAAATGCTGCTGTATTTTAGCCTACTTATGCTCCAAGACTACTCATCCATATACTTGCAATGTAACACCTGGTTCTTTGTGGCAAATTACTGTGGAATACTTTTTAAAACAGGGGAAAATAATAGCATCAGAGCTGGAAACATCAAAGACCACGTATTGACTAGTGTAATCTCTAGCCTATTAAATCGTATTAGTCCCTGTGTGTCAAATCATATTTCACAGAACTCCAAAATCGAAAACTCCACACATTTACCAAAATGGTACAGATGGCTCAAGCAAGTAAACCAAACAACATATTACAGGAAAAGAAAACTTCAATCCTATTATTCCACTGCCTATCAGTTATACCTAACCATGAGCAAAAAGCATCTCCCATGGCTTTCCAAGTAATACCCTGCTTAGTTTTTATGGAAACAAATATAGTGTATCTTGGTACACCCACGATGTAAAAGAAAAGTAAGTACATATGATAGTTTCAGGGTCCAAAGTATGAGTCAGATTCAAATTCAGGACCAAACCTGAACAGGACACTAGACAATCCATGAGCAGATTTCCAGCATTATTTTTGTTTCATAAACAACAGCTGTGAAAGGCCTCAGTTCAAACTGGGACCATGGCACAGAGGAAAGTGTCTGTCCCCCCCTCCCCCAATCCTATCTTCTCAAACTTAAATGGCCCTCCAGAGCTAATGTTTGCCACCTTGGAGGAAACATAGGCAATTCACAAAATCCTATCAAGCACTTTTTAATCCCACCCATCCTTCAAAGAGCCCAGGGTATCTTACATGGTTCTCCCCTCCATTTTATCCTCACAATAGCCCCATTAGGTTATGCTGAGAGAAAATGCCACCCAATGAGCTTCATAGCTGAGTGCAGATTTGTAGTCTCCTTGGTATTAGTTCAACACTGTAACCTCTGTTCCTAATTGGCTTTTAAAATTATCCTGACCCAGATAGCCCAGTCTAGCCCAATCTCTTCAGATCTTGGAAGCTAGGCAGGGTCCACCCTGGTTAGTATTTGGATGGGAAACCAGCAAGGAAGTCCAGGGCAGCTATGCAGAGGCAGGCAATGGCAATCCACCTCTGAATGTCTCTTGCTTTGAAAACCCTGGATGGTCACCCTAAATTGGCTGTGACTTGATGACACTTCACACACACAGGCAATTGTCAGGTTTGGAGGGGATTTTTTTTAATAATAATTTTTAAAAGAATAATGTTTATTTCATGTGTTTGTCAGTTTTTGAGATTTAAACTTCAATGTTTCTATCATGATTTAGATTGAGAAGGTACACTTCAAATCAAAGATGCCAAGAATCCATCGATCGGAAACTAAGCCAAATCCAGGTCTGCATAGAATGTCAACTAGTCTTCTACGTGCCCTTGTTAGAGGCAAAAGAAATGTAAAGAAAATTTTAAAATTCTGTAGTAACGGTTACATGGCAGCTGCTCATTGAGAAATACTAACTTAAAGTCAGGCTTTGAAAGTCTTTCACGTTACCTACTGCCTGATCATTTTAACTGGAGACTGAATGTGGGACCTTGTGCATGGAAAGTTGGTACTCTGCCACTCCTACCTCTTAGACATCTCATTCTTCTCAAACAGGACCTGCTCTGAATGCTTTATTATTATTATTTTGAGCCCCCTGAAGGGGATTTTTTTATTACATTTTTATAAACACTACAAACTACAACAGAAATAGGATAAGGGACTACATCTAGGGACAAAGTAAAGATACCCACTAATACCTAAAAACCCAAGAGAGGAGATCTTCTAATCAGTTTACACAAACATCAAATGTTTTTTTGGAAAAAAAGATTTTTATTTTCCATTAATCATACAATATCCATCTTTTTCTCACTCAGTCAAAAATCCAATTTTCCCTCCCTCCCCCAAGAGGCTTCCCGCAATGCGTCTCCCTTACGTCACATATAATCAATAAGTTCAAGATAACATCATGTACTTAATATTGTTCTAGATATAGTAAATTATGTTTCACGTCCCAGTTCTTTTCTAAGTATGTTTTAAAGTCACTCCATTCTTCAAAAAATTCCTGGTCTTCTTCATTATTC